AAATGTTTCCATTTCACCAATTGCATTCTCTTCGTAAAAGCATTCCACTACACTATCGACAAATCTTATTGCATTAATAGGATTACGTCTCAGTTGAAACAGTACAGGGCATAATCAATTATTTTTAGTTCTGTACCTAGTGTCGAAGACTGGGACCATTTTTTCGATATTACGATGATTCCTGTCTTAGTAACTAAGGCGATCGTTCTAGATCCTGTCAATTTTTATATAGTGAGCGCGCACTGATTAGCATAACCGTGAACTGACCATGGTTACTTCACAATTAGTCCATAAGTCCATCAGTCGACGAGTGAAATGGGTGAAAAAAGTCACAGAATACTTTTATACATATTTCATTGTAACCTCATATATTAGATACAATGTGTCTGTTACAATCCATATTGTTCCTTTTCACCGACCATCAAGAATAAAAATGATGCTGGATTTCATGATCAAAAGAATTTTTAAATGTGTTGATAGGCCTTCAAGAGACCAAGGAACCCATGAGTGGCATATATCCGATATCCAATATCCACAGTTTTATCAATAGCTAGTATAAACTAACTAATTTCTTATAGCTCGTATTTTTTGTTTCAGCACGGTTGCAAGAATGTAATAATGTTTAGCGAGTGGTAGTTAAACTATGCAACTACATTTACTCTCTTCAGATTGAAAGTTGTTGGTGGGTTTTTAGATTTGTAACTTCAGCGAGCACACTCGTTTAAGATCAATAGGGTTTCTCGATACAAACAGCTAGTAAGCGAGATAGGAATTTTCTTTTGATGTGTGTCCATGATTACTGAAGGTCAATATTACGATACACACACCACTCACAGCAAGCCAAAGTTGAAGATGATAATCCACATGTGAGTACATACTCGTCAAGTCTCTTATAGAAAGTGTCCACTAATGAGGTTGTAGTGACTTATGGGTGTATTCCTGATTGGGGCAAATGCTTACTCAAGCACCCACAGTATGAATTAGAGGTTGACATTTGACAGGTAACAATCCAGTTTTCGACAAAAGATTGGGACATTTATTCATTCCCGAAGATATAAACTTTGCTTTTATTCATTGATAGACAGTCGGAGTAACAGTTCGAACAAACGGAATAATTTGAAGTCAGAACCATTGTGCGGAAGGTCTACCTGTCTCAATCAACTGTTCTCTTCCTAGTTGCATCGGCAGCATACACACATTCATTCACTCGCAAACACAGGACTTGTGGAACTTCTGCATAGATTAGTTATTTGTCACTGGAACACTGATGTACATAGACAGTACTACGGATTCATGCTGAGTCACCTCTGTCCGTGGTTCTGGCATATCTGTCCACAGTGCAGAATCACCATGATAAACAAATTAGCATTGGCAAAGCCATAGACCCTACTGAAAATCAACCCAAAAATTCCTACAGGTAAACCTAACTCACCCACCACTAAACCGACGAAATATGTGACAAAAGTAGCCATAGCCCAAACCATCCCAACGACAAAACTGCCGGTCGTTTTAAACCTGCCAGTATCTGTTCACCATATGGAGCAGTGGATGGGCGTGAAAAGGGAAACGGCAACACTATAGTTCGTAAAATGTTATAAGTCCAAGGCAGGGATGAAAGACTAAATTCACTAATTATATTTTATGTTTCAGTATCAAAGGGTAGCTTGTTAAGAGGTAGTGCTGGCTTTGATAAAAAACAATGGGACAAGTACTGCACAATCCTCAGAATGAGCAGTACTCTAGCTAAAATATGCCGTATTTTCAAAGGTGAGGGTGTCGCAAAATAGAAACTCTCTTCGTTGAGGATAACCTCAGAATCCGCAAAACTTGCCAATGATATCCTCCTCACATTCCAGAGACCCTCGGTTAATTTCTCCTCCCCGATCTGACTCAGGCACAATAAACCGTGGTCAGTACGAACCGCAGCCAGGACATCTCGAGGCTACCAAGACCAGGCCAGTATGTTAGTTCATAGAGTACCCGAACTAGTTGGTAGTAGATTGGAAGGGTCTCACACGCATGACGTGCAACATTGATGATGGCTATCATGTAGTATGGACAGTCACATCACAGCAGCAGCAAGCATTTCCTGGCTGCATGGTCCGTCACACCTCACGATCACTAAGTCACTACGTCTAATGGCTGTGGAATTCAGGATTCGGGAAGACCTAACTAAGGAGCTTCAGGCTTGTTACGGTTTGAAGAATGATCTCTCTACCCAGATTAGGTGTTACGAAAGCTGATCTAGATCCGTGAGGTACCAACAGGTAGGCAAAATAGGCACATACTAATGACAGCTGACCTCGATCAACAGCCCAAGGCACAAGAAACGAAGACAATGGTCTAGCCAACTGAATGCACTGCAAAGGCGAAAAATCTGCAGAAGCCAGTTATGTGAGAACTGGCCAACTCGGTTTCAACAACTTGTTTGAAAATCCAACGACGGCTGTTGCTGCAGGGGCGCACCAGGTGATGAGACAAACCATCAACTGCCTATATAGCAACGTAAGAGGACTAGGGGGTGGGCTGTTAGAGATTGTGAATATGTGCTCTCAGATGTATCTGAAGATCACAATCTGAACTGCAACGTAGCTATCCCCTAACATTGCAGACGACGAAGTTATCTTGCAAGGCATGAAAATTTCCCGATGCCATATGTTACACCAGACAGGAATTGAAGTGGCCATGTATATTAACAGTCATTTAAATGCCGAAAGACTAAATGGTACTCAACTAACCGACCTGAGATATTCATGTCGGTGTTGTTTCCACACAAATGGCAGGAAATACTTGATTGAAGGGATTTACCAGTCCTCCTCAGGTACTATGATCCAGAAAAATAAACTGACTGAGGCAGTACTGTCACTGCCAATCCCTAGTTTTGATCAAATACTTTTTGCTGGAGATTTCAACACTCCGTTTCTAAATCTCAGCAAACAATGTAAAACTCACAATGGTTGTTTCCAAAGACGACTTGGCATAGCCGCTAGAAGTTCTGTGATGAATGAAGATGCATGCAGAGCCACTAGATGGACTGAGGATGGAAAATCCTCGAACTTGGATTGTTTGTAAACAAATGACCAGGTAGTTCACGTCCGTACAGCAGTAGGAAGTAACGACCATGGCACAATTTAGTTTAAAATGGTCATTGACGAAAAACCTAGGCGGGACAAAACGAACCCTAACTTCGAGACACTAGGGCAAAATGCATGCACATGAGAGACCATCTTCTAAACGCCCCATGGCCACAGGAATGGTACAGGATAACACTAAATGAACACCAGCAAATAGTTAGAGATATCATCCGGAATGCTGTCCTAAAAAATGTACTCCAGGTCAACCACACATCGGGATAGAGAACTTCGATTAGGCGAGGCAATGAACGCTTGTTATAGGCGAAAGGAAATGTCTATTACAAGTGGAAGGTGACTTTGATGGATTCCAACCGTAGTTCTTACTTGACACTGAGAAACAGACGCAATATGGAAGTTTGAAGTGATAGGAGAGGCTTTCAAATGAAGCTAGCTGCCAAATACCAAGCAAGCACTAAGGATCCGTTTCGGTTCATATCAAAAAGGAAACCCACAAACCGGGATGTTTGTTCAGTTAGAGGTGCAAATGGCGAAGGTCTTACCGAACTGGAGCTGGCTGAGAACTTCAACAACAACTTCACAGATCAGTTAGACAAAGTAAGTACACGTTCACTGTGCTTCTCCAAGCTAGTGCCAACTGACGGCCTGGTGAACATTCGACCCACTTCTGACTTAGCACTAAGAAAAATACAGTCCTTACTGGCAGGAAATGTTTCAGTAACTGTATACCGTTTTAAAAGAAATATGTTGCTAATCTTAACATTTTGATCTTGCCTGTAAATTGGAATGTCTCTTGTAACATGTTTGTTATTTGAGAATAAATTATTATGATTATTATTGAAAGTCACCAGGTTGTGACAACATTCGTCCCATAGTGTTGAAGCAGTGTTCGGAAGCCCTCAGCTCACAGATAAATGGCCTGTTCCGACATTCACTGGAGTCACACCAAATTTCAGCTGAATGGAAACAAGCTGCTCCTTCTCCAATCTTCAAAGAAGATGGGAAGGACCCAGACTGCTAAAATTTAGTCTCATTACTACGAATCCTAATGAAGGTCATGGACTGGCTGGTGAACGAACAAATGTGTCAGTAAATGGATAGGAACAAAAGCTGCATAAAGCTCAACACGGATTTTATAGAGACAGGTCGTGCGCATCCAATTTTCTCACAGCATGTGACAGTTGAACATCTTGTTAGGACAGAAAAATATCGGTGTACATAATATTTATCCACTGCGACATCCTACGATACAGTAGTCGATCTAGTGCTAATTGCGAAGATTGCGGAGACGGGCTTCAAAAACCCACCGCTATCCTATTCTGCCCAACGTGACGAAAACGACTCTTAACCTCAACGAGAAGTCACTCTCAAATGATCTCTGGCCTGTTAATATGATGGCAGCTGGTATCCGGACACCCTAGTACCGTGAAACAAACTTATTCACTCAAATCATTGGACGTACAAACTCACAAGCCAACTGACTGGAATTAGACAGTCGAGTGGCTAGACCCCTATTGATTAGACGCTACACAATACCTGGAACCGTAATAAAAGAACAAGAAAGGAGAGCAAAAATATCAATTGGTGTATACTAGCTCGAGAAAAAGATATTGGATATTAAAATGCCAACTGACTAGAATTCATGAAATGAAGTGGCTCGATTGTGCATCATCAAATAACTGGAACCGTACTGAAATCACGAGAATCGAGAGCAAGGAAATCAATTGCTTTATACTAGCACGTAAAAAAAATCCGATATTGGATTTTGAAAGTTACGCAGACGCGGATTCAGTCGTTTTGTTACCATCGTTACGGTAGTGCTCAATCGGCTAACGAGAACATCGTTAATGGAGACTAGATTTGTCAGGTAGAAGTGTGTATATGTGTCCATGAATATTCTTCAATGAGATGACTCAGTCTGTATTCATACAGGGTACTTACTGCTAATAATTTTAATCAGATGTGTTTTACAGTTGGTCAGTGTGGCAATCAAATTGGTCATCGGTTCTGGGACTTGGCACTAACAGAGCACAAAGTTGCTAACAAAGTATGTAGATGGTATCCACTGATATTCTTCAACTTAGGGAGGTCTGTATGATAGTTCGTTGTCTTCGTTTTTTTCGAATGGGACTAATAACAATGGTAGTTCCATGCCTGAAATTTCTGGCCTTAAAGCTAGAGTAACTAGAATTTTAACTCACAATCTCGAAGGCTTTGCTTGTAGATATGGAGGAAGGTGTCGTCAATCAGATGCAAAAGGGACCACTGAAAAATTTATACGATTCTAGTTACCTCATCACTGATGTATCAGGTTCAGGAAACAACTGGTATTTTCCCTAACTATTCAATATCTTGTTAGGGCAATGGGAAATTTGTATTACGGCCGAATACACCAAGATGCGTTATGTGAAGCTTTAAGAAAGTCAGCGGAACTCTGTGATTTCCTCCAATGTTTTTTTGTTCTCCATTCAATGGGTGGAGGTAAGTGGTTCATTTGACTCATTTCTAAAGGTACCGGTTCTGGAGTTGGTACTCATATTTTGAAGATTTTAGCTGATGATTATCCCGAGGTATACAAGTAAGCCTAAGGTTGTTTTCATAAGTTAGGATGGACATTGCTGTGTTCCCTTCAGTGGATGACGACGTTATCACTTCTCCGTATAACACGATTTTGGCTCTTGATCAAATCACTGAATTTGCTGACTGTGTGCTGCCTATCGATAATATCGCCCTATCCAGTATAATAGATAAAGCTAGGAATTGCTGTCGTAACTCCGGTGGGAATGTGAATGAAAATACAGCTTCCTTAATCGGTCCGAAACACACCAAACAAGCGAAACCCTTCGATGATATGAACAACATCGTAGCTAATATGCTATTAAATCTCACGAGGTATGGTTTTAATTTTTTGTGACTGTTATTTGTTACCACTTCAGAAGTTCTATTTCTATTCAAAGCTATTTGTAATTGTAGTAATATGTAATCAGTTTTTTTGTGTTTACACTTGTTCATAAGTGTGGTAACGTCTAATTTTTTTCGCTTTTACACTTTGGTGTCGTCGAATGTGTCCCTAGTTTTTTATGCTTTTGATCTTTGAGCCTTTATTGTGTTCAGTACTATATTTTTGTGATGGAATAGTGTAACGTTATTGCTACTTTAAGCTCAAATCTTGGTGTTAGTGGTTCTAGGTCCCTGGTTTCGTCCAACAAACGGCTAGACTACAGTTTCTCTGTTGAAATGTAATGCGAAGGTGTCATATCAGGCGATTCAGATGATTTTATTTAGTCAGAATAATAAAATATAAATACAGGAAGAAAAAAATCAAATATTAGATAAACAAGGAAAAACAATTAGTGATAGTAAGTATAAATATGTATGGAGCTATAATAAGAAATGGAAAAGAAAGTAGTAGAAAGATAGAAAACTGCTAATCGTAATTTCATCTTGTCTTAAGCTGTCATATAGTTTCAGCAATCAGTGGGCATTTTTATGAGTCCAACACCAACTGAAAATAAGACCTGGACATAGCTGTATAGACCACATCTTCACACTACGACAGGTCCTTTAACACAGACACACATTTAGACGTCCGACAATAGTTGTCTTCCTGGACTTTGAGGCTACATTTGACTCTGTCTATCGTTAGGTTTTGTGGCAGCGTCTGTCATTAAAAGGTGTACCAAAGAAGTACATTAACCTTATACAAGCTCTACTCAAAAACCACTGGTCGAGTGAGAGCTTATGGTGAACTGTCATCGGAACCGATTACTACAAGTGGTGTTACAGACATCCTACTACATATAATATTATCTTCGTCTGACCTTTCAAGAGTCGACTTTCTACGAGATAAATCGCTTGCTGACTTAGAATTTGCCGATGGGATAGTTTTATTCGGTGAAGACGCTGACAAAATGCAGTCTTCTGACCACCCTAAGCAACAAGGCAAGCATATTCGGGATGCGATTTTCTCCTTCATAATGAAAAGTGTTGCTTCATGGTTGGCTTGCGACTTCACCGGAACTAGTGATAGGGAGTGAAGTAGTCGAACGTGTAGACCGCTCCATTTGTCCTGGAAGTCTCATCAGTGCTGATGGCTTGGTGACTGACGAAATATCAGCACGAATACAGAAGGTTCGATTGGCATTTCCAAATTGTGTCATTTGTGGCGTCGGCGAGATATCTGTTCGCTAACCAAAGGACGAGTGTACTGCTCAGTAGTTCGCTGCGAAACATGGCCAGTGAGAGTAGAATATATTCGTATGTTGCTGGTTTTCGAGCCTAAGTGTCTCCGAAGCATATCCTGGGACAATCGAGTAACCAATTCTGTTGTTAGGATACAAATACTAGGTAGGGGTGAAAAATCCATAGATGAAGCATTAAAACTTCATCAATTGAGGTGGTTGGACGTATGTTACGAATGTCCAACCACCGACTGCCTCGTCGAGCTGTTTTGTGGTGTAGTAGTAGGTTGGAGGAAAGTTAGGGGCGGCAAATCCATAGTCACTGACAAGTAGCATACTGACGTCATTGTTTATTTAATTTCTATGAGCACTATGATCATAAAGGACACAATTTATCTGTTACTTGTATGGGTATGGATCCACATAATGTAGGATAAATTTCAAGGTTCATAATAAATAAAATGTGAGTGAAAAAGGAAGCATGATAAAAGTTATCATTGAAAGAGGGAACGGCGTAAAATATGCCCAGTTTACTTTCTATTCTTTTTCCAACGACCAATCTAAAATGTGCTTTTTTAAACGTTTGATGAAGATTAATGCTTTCCCTTATCAGTATGCTCCTTTTTGAATGAGTCCCGAATTTCTTCCCATTTCCCTAGTGATGTGAGATGCCTTTGGATCCGCATATCCTCACACTTGGTGAGTTTCTGTTGTCTAACATAGATAACATACAGGTGAAGAAAGTAGTCTTTTGTCTAATCCATCCTATTGTCAAAATAGTGAAGCACTGTGGCAAGATGAGTCTTTCGTTAAGAAATTAAGGTGTCTTATTATGACATACGATCAAAGTGAAATTTGTTTTCTTCATTGATGATCTCTCTTTTGGCATATTAACCTACAGACGTTTCTACATACTCTTCAGTTTAACCAAACAAAATTTCACTGTTTGGTTTTTTCTAAATCTTTCTTTTCACCGGTGCTTTTCAAATCAGATGTGTTTTCATAATGACAGGTAGAATTCGATTTTTATAGTTTTCAAAGGTGGTTCCTCACAAATTCGTATACAGAGAGAAAAAGGTGACTGACGTATTATATTTATACTGATGAATAGGATTTTCGTGATTCACTGATTACTGAATTGTGGGATATTTGTGTCTACTATATGATGAGAGCCTCAGTCATAGTACATTGCTTTATAAATTAATAAACTAGGCGAAAACTTGTCATACTAGAGCTAAATAAATAATCATTAGGAAAATGATAGTAATAAATCTACACTGGCACCATTGCTTTGATAAATTGATATAACTTTTCCCTGAAGTGTCTTAACATTTTTTCTTAACTTTCGATTTATTTAGCTCCTCTCGATTTGAAGGTACTATGAATGTTGATTTAAATGAAATCAGTATGAACTTAGTTCCATTTCCTCGTTTACATTATCTCATTGCTTCACAAAGCCCTTTATCAACCATGTCTCGAATATCAGCCCCTAGAAAGTAAGAATTAACACTGCTTTATAATATATATATGTGGCTTTATGTATCTATATCAAACACTAAACAGTTAAAAAAATGTTATTTCCAGTATTCATTTGATTCAATCATACGTGTATTTGAGTCTAAAATCAAATTATCAACTTTCACTTGAAGCTAGTCGGTATGTTATAAGTTGAGATATCAAATCCTCAAATAACGAAGTTTTAATATAAGTTGACGAACTATTGGATCATATATTGCTTTTATAAGTTTACAATGCTATATCATATGTAAGACAGTAAGTACATGAGTTGTAAAAATGGGATATAAACTCAAAAAATTGGCATTGTAATAAAGTGTACCCCAAAGGTTAAACACATTACCATGACCGATCAAATATACCCATGAGAACTAATTTAGAGACAGTTTGTTGTGAAGGCAATGAACTCCATTTTTATGGGATGCATCATAAGAGCTTATACAGTTCCTAAAAAACCTTTGAAGAATATGCACAGTACTATCTTATTTTTGTTGAAAGAACATAAGGATAACATAGATTTCACGAAAACGCTGTCAAAAATGGTCATTACGTCCCTGATTAACTGCCATATGTTAGGCGACATCTTGTATTTTTATCAAAATTGAAAAAATATTAATCAGAATTCTATCATTTTAAATTCAACTTATTGTGGTCAACATTACGAATTTTTAAAAATGTTTAGAGCTAAGTATTTGGTTGTTGGTAATAACTTATTAATGTGTTCAAGAAAAATTAATCTGATAAAAAATGATCTTTTTAAAGAATCGTACTGTATGAAATAATACATAAATTCATTAATTTTTAAGTAGTGTGACTGAATAGTCAACGCACTTCATTGACTAGATTACCCTTTGCGAAATTTCTAACCTTCACCATAGTTTTTAATTTTACAGGGATTTGCATTCATATTAGGTCTATGTAACATCGCTTGCTTTAAGTTGATTTAGTATTAGCTTAAGTTTTCAGTTCATAATTTTATTTAATTTGTTACTGCTAAATGACTTTTTAATCGATACTATAATTTAATTTGATATTTCATCTTAAAAGTTAGTGTAATACTCTAGCATGCAGTGATAGCCGGTGCAAGAAAAAGAAAGCCAGTGTTGACCAAACCAAAACTCAGCATCATGTCACTATATGGTTTAAAATGTTCCGTGATTTGTCTCAAAATCAGTCAGTGATACAGATGTATTTGTGCTTTATCTTCCTCCAGATTTTGAGCTTCATGATTCCTCCGTATAGTTTTCTGGACTAACTCATATTTGTGTTAAGCTGTACGGTGATTATGACTGGTAGATTCTTATTGATGCTGTATGCGACTCTTTTTATGACCCACTCGGAACGAGTTGTGTATTTCCATCTACACTTTCTTCATTGTTATTAGAATTCTTGCACCAAGGCTTGTAATAAATTCATTGGTTATTTATTTCTTTCTAAATTTATTCTCATCCATTTTAAATTCTTAGTTGTGGGTGGAGTTTGTTTTTATGATTTTGGTTTATTTTATAGGCTTGATCAAATATTTTCAGATACATTCACTAAAGATTACCAGTTAATGTCTGTTGATCCTTGTAGACATGTTTATCTAGCAGCTGCTCTACTTGTTCGTGGTGCAATCAATGCATCAGATCTCCGTCGAAATATTGACAGGTAAATCGCTATAAAAAATATAATGCTAAACTTAATATGAGAAATTTATATTATGTCAATAAAATATTCTAAAATGTTGATATTTTTAAATTTCATTTAGAAGCATTCACTACTCTATTTGTTGAAAACGTTTTGTTTGCTGCTGCTATTTTTAGTAGTTTATTTCCGATTGATTTCTCTATATTTTTAATCTTTTCTTCTGGTTCTGCTAGTAATACGTCGAGCCCCCTATAAAATCTCAAATCTGTGAAATAATACGGTTGTTCTTAGATTTCAGTGACCCTATACAAATATTCTGCTTAATATATTCCAATGCCTTTCAAACAAGTTTTGATCTTTGTGATTATGATCATTCAATATCTGGCGAATTATCCTTATAGATATTATTATACCACACAACCTCAAAACTCCGCCAGTAGAACCTTTGGGGCTACTGCCGGTCCCAAGCCCGGATAAAGGAGGAGGGTTGGATATGGGGTTGGCGACCCCATTCCGTCGAACTCTAACTTGCCTAAAAAACGCTAACCAGCAAAAATAATTCAAACCATTTTAACTCTGCCCTGGGAGTTGGAGGAAGAATTATGACGTCGCGTGATGAAAGCCGAGTTCCTTCGGAAGTCACGGGGCTGATGCCTCTTCTGACAACCAGAGCAACAATTTTTTTAGGTACATGGAACGTTCGTACATTGTGGGAGACTGGAAGACTATTTCAAGTTGCGGCAGAAATGAAAAGATGCAACCTCGAGGTACCTGGAAACAGTTAAACACATTGGACGCAAGTAGGACCACTAAGAGTAGCTTCAGGTGAACTGATGATATACTCTGGTCGTGAAGAGGAAAATGCTTCACATACACAAGGAGTTGCACTGATGCTGTCCAAACATGCACAAAAGGCACTGATAGGATGGGAATCTCATAGACCCAGGATCATTAAAGCAACCTTCAAAACAAAGAAAGAGGATATTACAATGAACGTCATCCAATGACGACGATAAAGATCAATTCTACGAAAGGCTGAAGTCACTTTTCGAGAAATGTTCACCAAAGGATTTGACGATTCTTATGGGAGACCTGAATGCCAAGGTTGGAATGGACAACACTGGATATGAAGACATCATGTGACAACATGCACTGTGAGACGCGAACGAAAATGCTGAGGGATTTGCAAACCTATTTGCCTTCAACAAACTGGTAATCGGTGGAACAATATTCCCGCACAAACGCATACACAAACCCGGATGGATTTCACCGGACTACACTACTCAAAACCAGATTGATCATATCTGTATCAACAAAACGTTCAGAAGGACTATGGAGGATGTGAGAACCAAGAGAGGAGCTGATATAGCCTCAGATCACCATTTGCTGATCGCCGAAATGAAACTGAAACTAAAGAAGCACTGGACAACGGGGCAGACAACATCACACAAGTTTAATACAGCCTTACTTCGAGATACCGTAAAACTCAACGAATTCAGGATAGCCCTCACCAATAGGTTCCAGGCCTTTCAGGATCTACTCAATGGAGAGGACGCAACATTGGAGAACAATTGGAAAGGGATTGAAGAGGAAATCACTTCAACATGTCACGAGGTTCTGGGTCACAAGAAGTACCATCACAAGGAATAGATCTCTGTTGATACTCTTGCAAAATTGAAGAAAGGAGGAACAAGAAGGCAGCAATCAATGTCAGCAGAACAAGGGCAGAGAAAGTTATCGCACAAGCTGCATACACAGAAGCAAACAGGGAAGTGAAGAAGAGCATCAGAGCTGACAAACGAAAATATGTGGGAGATCTAGCAATGACGGCGGAAAAGGCTGCAAGAGACGGAAACTTGAGAGAATTGTACGAAACTACAAAGAAGCTCGCCGGGAACTATCGTAAAGCAGAACGACCAGTGAAAAGCAAGGAAGGCAAAGTAATCAGCAACATTGAACAACAGCGAAATAGGTGGGTAGAGCACTTTAAGGAACTATTGAATCGACCAGCTCCACTGAGCACACCCAACATCGAAGCAGCATGTACGGATCTCCCAATTAATATTGGCGCACTTACGATTGAGGAGATCAGTATGGCCATCAGACAAATCAAGAACGGCAAAGCAGCAGGACCATACAACATTCCAGCAGAGGCAATGAAAGCAGATGTAGAAGCAACTGCGAAAATATTTCACATCCTCTTCAAGAAGATTTGGGATGAGGAACAAATACCATCAGATTGGAAAGAAGGATAGCTGTTCAAAATACCAAAGAAAGGCGATCTCAGCAAGTGTGAGAACTACAGAGGCATCACTCTTCTTTCAATACCAGGCAAAGTCTTCAACAGGGTATTGTTAAACAGAATGAAGGACTTCGTAGACGCCCAACTTCGAGATCAACAGGCCGGATTTCGTAAGGACCGATCGTGTACTGACCAAATTGCTACATTACGGATCATTGTGGAACAATCAATTGAATGGAACTCACCACTCTACATCAACTTCATTGACTACGAGAAAGCATTCGATAGCGTGGATAGGAAAACACTGTGGAGGCTTCTTTGACACTACGGTGTGCCTGAGAAAATAGTTAACATCATACAGAATTCTTATGATGGATTCAACTGCAAAATCGTACACGAAGGACAGCTAACAGACTCTTTCGAGGTGAAGACCGGTGTCAGGCAAGGTTGCTTACTCTCACCCTTTCTCTTTCTCCTAGTCGTCGACTGGATTATGAAGACGTCAACATCTGGAGGGAAGCACGGTATCGACTGGACAGTTAGGACGCAGCTGGACGATCTGGACTTCGCAGATGACCTGGCTCTTCTATCGCACACTCAACAACAAATGCAAGAGAAGACGACCAGTGTAGCAGCAGCCTCTGCAGCAGTAGGTCTCAACATACATAAAGGAAAAAGCAAAATTCTCCGATGCAACACAACATGCACCAACCAAATCACTCTTGATGGAGATGCCTTGGAGGACGTTAACACCTTTACATATCTGGGCAGCATCATCGACGTAAAAGGTGGATCCGATGCAGATGTGATTGCACGGATTGGCAAAGCGAGGGCTGCATTTCTACAGTTGAAAAATATCTGGAACTCCAAACAACTTTCAACCAAAACCAAAATCAGGATCTTCAATACAAATGTCAAGACAGTTCTACTGTATGGAGCGGAAACTTGGCGAACTACCAAAGCCATCATTCAGAAGATACAAGTATTTATGAACAGTTGTCTACACAAAATACTTCGGATTCGTTGGCCAGACACAATGAGCAACAACGTACTGTGGGAGAGAACAAACCAGATTCCAGTGGAGGAGGAAATGAGGAAGAAGCGGTGGAATTGGATAGGACACACATTGCCGAAAGCACCTAACTGCATCACGAGACAAGCCCTCAAGGAAAAGAGGAAGTCCAAGGAACACATTACGCCGAGAAATAGAGAAAGATATGAGAGGAATGAACAGACATTGGAGAGAACTGGAAAGGGAAGCCCAGGACAGAGTTGGTTGGAGAAAACTGGTGGGCGGCCTATGCTCCATTGGGGGTAACAGGCGTAAGTAAGTAAGTGAGTAAGTACACAAACTCAAGGGTAATACTAATATAACAGTTGGCATTAAGCCTTAAGATACGTTTGAGGAACTGGAGCATGCCGACTAGCATGTGAAGTAATATATAAATGAGACGAGCGAGTGTAAAGATGAGCTGACGAATCGATCATAATGAAAATTAGCAATAACACAGCTGCGAGATCAAGATAATTTAACCACAGAAACATGAGGTACGAATGTAGGATCTCAATTTGGTTACAGCCGACAGAAGTCACTTTTGATGTTGTTAGTTTGTGTAAAAATAAACAGACGCTCCTTTTTTTGTTATTTTGGCAGACTTCAATCTCGCTTACATTTTGTCCCATGGAATCGAGAAGGCTGGAAAGTTGGACACTGTTTAGTTCCACCAGTGAATTATAAATACTCCCTATTAGCTCTAGCTAATAATACTTCTATTCACGAATCATTTAGTTTTATTTTGGAACGATTCTATAAACTTTATCGGAAAAAGGTATGCCGGGGTTGTTTTTTGAAGTTTTAACTAAGTAGTTTTTTTCTATTCAAATCCATGATGTCAATTTCATCTACTAGGGTAAATTATTTTATTCCGATAGTTCTTCGGAAAAAAATAGTTTGAAGATAATTTTCATCACTTAAAAAATGCTAAAAGACTAAGTAAGACTGGATATTGCGTCAACAATATGTTTGAGTAAAAGTTTAGAATCGGCGACGAATAATTCACTATAGCATTCAATATTATTGGTCGTTTTAGACAGCAGTGATTGAATTTTTGAAAATTCGAACAGTTGAACTTCGATGGTAAAGTGCTCCCTTCCAACATTTACAGATACTTCAGAGAACTATTAGAGTAGTGATGAGCGGTTGTACCTAGAAAATTGAAAAGCTATGATGTAAGAGAGTTTCCTCTACATTTCGTTTTACCGCAATAAAAGTGTAGAAATTTTGGGGTGACCAAGACCTGGAAAATGTTTTTATATAATCTTTTCAGACAAGCTAACCGTACCTAAAGCTTGATCACGGTTTCGAGCATCATATTGTACTATCAAATACCTATTAGCTGTTATAAAAATATTCGTTTATTACAATTATGCTACTTATGAGTAACTAAAATCTCCTTCATGTGTCTCACCTGTCAACCGTATATTATTCCCTATTGGTTGACCATTTTAAACCCATACACCTTGAGATTTGACCATTGTTGTTGAGTTCATCACTCTGAACATGATTTTAACGGGAACTTATCATATGATTTATCTGAATTGGGGCACATCATTTCGGTCAATTTAACAGCTCATTATGGCAAAATTCTGGGTATAAATAAGAGTGTATACAATAATTAAGTTCGCTATTTATTTCATGTGTTGTGTTGTGTTGTGTTAATAATACATCCCACCTTATTTACTGACGTAATCTCTGTAAAGTCATGACTTTATTGTACTATGTGAACTCTAATCAAATTGACTTCTGCACTACCATACTAGATAGCTCGACAATAAGAGCTGGGCTGCTTGAGTGTAAGTTAAGAAATTGCTTTGAGATGCTTGTCAAGAATAAGATCCATAAAACGCTATTTCCTTGGATTTGTATTGGATTAAAATCTATAATGCCTCCAACATCGATATCTGAAAAGGACTTAAACAGAAGTAACAACGTTACTCCTAGAATCATACTCATTACGACCAATTTTATCTGCGATCTGAATGCAATAGTAGAACTTGGACGCCTTGATGACATGAGGTATATTGGCTGAAACACTTTCTATTAATTCTTTGATGACAGGTTGAAGAGTGGTAAGACTGAGGATAGAAAATTCAAGACCTAAGAGTGAACTCATATTACCAGTCTTACTACACAGTAGCGTTTATATAGTCCTAATAACTAAGTTCTAAGCACTGTTCACCATTTTGTTTCTTATTAAAAACGAAGGCAATCGAATACAAAATCTTTAAAGATATTTGAAATATGTTCTTATTATGTAATGAAATTAGATAGACAATGCATTATTTAAACAGATACCCATACTACTGTTTCCTACTACAAATTTGCTAGGAAAGCCATGCTGCTCCATGGTTTAGCAATCCACTCACGGTTATTTGACTTCCACCTTCGTATTGCGTTTGCAGCAACAACAGATAGTTAGAAGTCGAGAGCTCTCTTCGACTTTCATCACACACATCAAACTGAACTACCGTATGTCATTACGACAATATGATTCTGTTCCTGTTGGTGTTTATGGATACATTTTGTCTCAATAGTTGTTCTTACGAGTAACAGCTTGCTTCATAAATTACTTTGCGATCAATGAATATTACTTATTCACAGAGTGCAGGCTACTATTTTTGGCTTTGAGAGTCATATCTTTAGTGTGAGGGCTAGTAATATCATCTGGCTGCTTAGAGTCACAGTAAGCAGAGCGAGAATGGAAGCTGCTATCTAATACAAAAATATCGAACTACTAGACGATCGCACTAATAAACACTATATTAAATTGGCAAGTTTTTTTAATGCTGTGAAATTCTCCTGTAAAATAGCTTATTTTGTTAATTTATAAAACATATAAATTTCATTCTAGGCACATTTACATCATTATACAATTGTCGACGGATTTGACAATAGTATGTTTGAATCAAGCGCTAATTCACTTCAGGAATTAGTTATTCAGTATGTGGATTTAGAAAAACAGGCTAATGCACAAATTTTACCAAACTTACCACAGTTGGAAATTATGGATTAAATAATTGCGCAGTTGTAAATACAATTTTTTTTAGCAGAATTATTCTGTAAAAAATACTTTGCTGCATTTACTCGTTTTGATACTGCTCTTGCATGCTGAAAGCTTGTTTATGTAAAATAATGCGATAGTTATTATCATGTAAATATAAGTTTTGGATGTACTTTTCAGACAATAGTGTAGTTTATTTAATCTTTGCAAAATAAACTACTAACTAATAAATGTGCTCAAGTTATGGTTTTGCATGAATATTAAAATGTGTATTGTGAGGTATACTGTGATACGTTAACTAAAGAAAACAGTGACGTTAACGACCTTCTTTGTATTAGTTCCATATTTTCAAGTACCTACAGACGAAACTGTTTACACTTTACATCTATTCCTTCATATATATCAATACGCCCGACCGAAGCTGCTACCTTGACGTGGTGGTCGGGCTTGCCTATCGTGATGACCCAACCGAGCTATACTGGCTGGAACATATGTTCCTGCAGGTCCTACCATGCCAGGCAGGTCGATTGGAGAACGATGAGACTAAAAGCAGCTACCCAAGGTCTGAGGGCGAAGTCGTACTGCTGACTGCAGAGGGCTGTGACAGCAGTAAGGTGTTTCCCTCGGACAACCAGCATCTGCAGCGATGCTGCCTTCTCACAAGGAAGGAAGGGTTAGAAAAGGTCGGCCCTAAAAATGTCACACCTCCCCTACCTCACGGATTTCCGTCTCCTTGGGTAAGGGTGCCCACTAAGGGCCTTTAAGAACGGAGCTAATCCTCTAAATACCTCTCATAAAAAGGCCGTGCGTGACCGGCCTCAAGCAGTTGTCCCTTGGACTCTGCGGTCACGCACCAACACTAATCCATCTTCCTTTTCAGGTTCGTCAAGAAACAACCTTCCACGGTGTGGGCAGCCGGGAAGTGATAACCGCCCTCATACCCGCAACAGCACACGAGACAAAATTGTTCAAAATCAAATCCTTCCCACATTCCCTAATACCTCTCTTACCTCCACAACTAACTCTTCTCACATTCATTTATTACAGTGCACAGCTAATGCAAACGATGCGAGTTTGCGAAACGTCGTTCCTGGTCTCCTTAAACCCCGTTCCAAACTACATGTTGGAGCTTCAATGTACGGACATTGTGTCAAATAGGGCAACAGACGTCATTAGCTAGGACTTTAGAGTCTCGTTCCATCAATGTGTGCTGCGTCTCGGAAACGCGCATACAGGATTCGAGTAGCATCACTCATTTGACCTCACCATGTCAAGATAAAGAAGCAGCTCGATTTACCCTTCGTGTATCCGGTAGCCCTGATGCTGCTTCTAGGGGCCTCGCCGGTGTAGGTATAGCATTGAGTCGTAGGGCAGAACAATCTCTCCTTGACTGGATCCCTGTAGATAGTCGCTTGTGCGCCGTCCGACTCAACGGGACAGTAAGGACTCGGGAAGATAGGGACACTCGCCGTTGCCTCTTCGTCTTATCAGCCTACGCCCCCACTGACTGCAGCCCAGATGATGTAAAAGATGAGTTTTACAGAAAGCTTTCGGAACTCCTCCAAAAAGTTAAGCGCTCTGATATAGTAATAATGGCTGGTGACTTCAATGCACAAGTAGGTAGACTAAGTGAAAATGAAAGACACCTAGGTGGATGTTACGGTCTCGCGGCTCAAAGAACAGACAATGGCGACCGTCTGTTGCAACTGTGCTCAGATAACCAACTATTTCTAGCAAACACTAATTTTAAGCATAAGGAAAAACACCTTTTGACCTGGCGACCCCCGAAGTCGTCTCAACGTTGGACACAACTAGATCATATCGCCATCAGCCACCGATGGAGGGGTTCGATAGAGGACTGTCGCTCGTTCTGGGGCACATGTTTAGATTCAGATCATGCCCTAGTGCGAGCACGTATTTGTTTGAGGCTTGCTGGACGTAGGAAAGACACCGTAAGAAAGCTCTTAGGGTTTTGCTTGATGATAATCAAGCTAAGAAAATATTTCAGGAGGAACTAGAAAAACAGTTAGGCGGCCATGCAAGTGATTCCCATCCTGAAGCAGGTTGGAATCATATCAAGAAGGCTGTGGAAACAGCAATGGTATCTGCTAGCAAGGTAAACCACAAGGCTAGGATGAAGCCGTGGATATCAGTCGCATCCCACCTAACTCTGAACATGATGAAGAGCGTAGTCAGCTTAGGTGCAGACTTATAAAAAGCCTACGTAACGACCGTGAACAGTGGTGGGTGGCGAAAGCAAAAGCGATGGAAAAGGCAGCGGCGATCGGCAACAGCAGACAACTTTTCCGCCTTATCAAAGAAACCGGTATTAGGAACCCGAATGTAAGTGAGACTATCTCGGAAAAGGATGGTCTTATTATCCATTCTCAATCTAGGAGGCTGGACCGATGGGCAGAACACTTTAGGGATCAGTTCAACTGGCCTTCAGCCACTGTTCGGTTGCCCACGATCTCCAGTCATCCTGAATGGCAAACCGATTTAAGTCCTCCCAGTTTACATGAAGTTGAGAAAGCTATAGGAAATCTAAGGAGAGGTAAAGCGGCAGGTCCCGATAGGCTTACCCCTGAGATGTTTAAGGACGGTGGTCCAGTTTTGACGGTTAGACTGACCGAGATCCAAGGTAGAATCTGCGAACTGAACGTAATCCCATCTGACTGGTCTCAGTCGCTAATTGTCCCAATCTACAAGAAAGGACAGAAGTCCTCTTGTGACAATCACAGGGGAATAAGTCTAACTAATATAGTTTCTAAATTGTTAGCCTCGATTATACTTAGACGTCTAACTAGAGCTCGCGAAGCGCAGACTCGAGAAAACCAGGCTGGTTTTCGACCTGGACGTGGTTGTATAGACCACATCTTCACACTACGACAGGTCCTGGAACACACACACATTTAGACGTCCGACAATAGTCGTGTTCCTGGACCTTAAGGCGGCATTCGACTCAGTGGATCGTGAGGTTCTGTGGCAGTGTCTGTCATTGAAAGGTGTACCAAAGAAGTACATTAACCTTATACAAGCACTCTACTCGAACACCACTGGTCGGGTGAGAGCATATGGCGAACTGTCATCTGAATTCTCTACATCAAGTGGTGTCCGTCAGGGCTGTCCACTCTCTCCATTCTTGTTCAACTTTGTCGTAGACATCCTCTTAGAGTTAACATTAAGCTCGTCAGATTTTTCAGGGGTTGACCTTCTACCAGGAAAGTCGCTTACTGATCTAGAATATGCTGATGACATAGTTCTATTCGGTGAAGACGCTGACGAAATGCAGAGTCTTCTGACTACCATAAGCAACAATGCGAGCATGTTCGGGATGCGGTTTTCCCCCTCGAAATGCAAAATGTTGCTTCAAGACTGGATTGCTTCGGCACCTGAACTAGTGATAGGGAGTGAAGTAGTCGAGCGTGTAGATCACTTCACTTATCTGGGGAGTCTCATCAGTGCTGACGGTCTGGTGACTGACGAAATCTCAGCTCGGATACAGAAAGCTCGATTGGCTTTTGCCAACATGCGTCACTTATGGCGTAGGCATGATATCCGTTCGCTAACCAAAGGGCGGGTGTACTGCGCAGCAGTTCATTCCGTTCTCTTATATGGCTGTGAAATATGGCCGTTAAGAGTAGAAGATGTTCGTAGGTTACTAGTATTCGATCATAGATGTTTAAGAAGCATTGCTCGTATATCGTGGGACAGCCGAGTAAGCAATGCTGTCGTTAGGAAACGAGTACTAGGTAAGGATGGCAGATCAATCGATGAAGTGGTGAAACTTCATCAGTTGAGGTGGTTGGGACGTGTTACGTATGCCTAACCACCGACTGCCTCGACGAGCTATGTTTTGTGGTGTAGGAGTAGGTTGGAAGAAAGCTAGGGGCGGCCAGACCAAAACATGGCAGAAATCCATGAAGTCACTGACAAGTGGACTGAGTCATGTTGGTAGATGTAGACTACCTGGTTGGGGTCCGCGAGACGAAAGTCAACAATGGTTAGAGACCTTGAACGACATGGCTCAAAATCGTGTGCAATGGCGCAGGTGCATCCACTCTTCGAGCTCTCTCAAATCCTAATCTTCTGGATTCGTCAGCACCTCTACCTTTGTCTTTCTAACCTTATCTCACTGAATTATATTTTTTGAATAATATCTTAAACCCTAGTCTTCTTTATTATAACATTAATACCTCTTCTATCTTTATCACTATGCGATTTGATTCGACATTTGCATCTCTGTGCTAATAATGTGGTATGGCAACATGAACTTATGTACATACGTACGAAGTTCTACGTTGCAACTGACTGACTGACTGATATATCAATACGAATTGTGTTTTTTTATGTGTAACACACCGTAGTAGCTTTGCTTCTATGTAGAGATTTACAGTGCAATTAAATACTTAACTTATTAGAACAAATCATTTAGCCCTAACATTAAAATTTAATGCGTAATGAAAGCACGATAGAGATCATTCATGATTTTCCGTATCATCAAATGAACGCTGAACTTGAAGTAGGACTTAAGACAAACACTTAGTAAATAAAAAATACTTCATAATTAAGAAAAGCGAGTATTTTTCAAATTACTATTCGTAAGTAAAGAGAAAAAGTATCAAAGGTCAAGGCACAGAGAGGGATAAATTATTGTTCGTTCAGGCAGCATGCAGTAGGATTAATTAACAAAATTCAGTAAAAATATCAACAAATAAAGGTTTTCATAAAATTAGTGAACATGCATAAAAAAATTGAAATTATTTGTAAAAGTATTGACTAGAAATGCATTATTTAATTGTTCATTGTTTTGTTATTTCTGTGATTGCTACTCCTATTTATTGGTTTCGAATTTTCTGCACAAGGCCATGCTCTTTTAAACGTTCCAAAGCTTTTTTAGCACATTCTCTTGTGGCTTCACGGTCTTTTTGTTCTAGTTCTCGAATACGTCCATCACTGACTCCAGGATACATAAGTTTAATATCTGGTAGCACAGGATCCGCTCGATCAATATCTGGCAATAGGCTCAAGGATAACAGAACCTCAAACATGTTCGATTTGCAAAAATATTCACCAAGAGATCGTTCACCATGTAAAACAAAGTTTTGCAAGATATGAGCTGCTCGATGTTGTAAAGCGCATGAAAAGTGTCCAGCTAGTGTTTGAATAGTTTCGAACCATGACGAGACCTAGTTATATTTAAAAAGGACAATCAACCGGACCTTTTGCAATAATCAAGTTGATTAAAATTATTACAACTATGTTATCCATTGCAAATGACAAATATCTTAAACTATAGTAATGATAATCATGAGATTTTGTAATGACTTGATTGCTTTGATGTTAATTAATATTGGTCAACGTAATAAGTCATATTCAGTTCAGAGTAAAAAAAACATGACGCGATTGGTAAAATAATGTATAGTTAATGTTTCAATTTATTCATAAGTTTTGAGTACGAATCCATTTGATATAAGACTGCTTGCCTCAGTTTGATGCTAGAAAGCTATTAAACACTTAAGGATAATTGTTTAAAAACATTTAAGGTAAAGAGTAAGTAAACAGGTGAATGTATTTCCCTTAAATGATTGTAAAAAGTGGTGTCAATCAAGTTTACTACACATTTCGTCTTAGTTATGGACAATTATTAATCAACTGGATTTCAAAGTAGCACTTGATAGTTCTATAGATGTGATAACCTAATAATAATCATTTGAGAACCATTGCTAGCTTGCTTGCTTATTATTTGCAAAGCCATACTAATGAACCAAAAATTTGAAGTGTGGCTGACTAATTAACGATATTGAGAAAATACATATGAATAAGGTAGACAGGTAGTCCCTTCGATGATGTAGCATTATAAAATGAAAGATAATTATTATCAAGTTTATTCTATAACTGACCTGAATAGCTTAGTGGAAACGCCTCTGTCTGTAGAGCTGGGTAACACAGGATTGAATCGGACAAGGAGCATCAGCCCCGTCAAGAGTACAAATGCACTGCTAAAGAGTACCGTATAATCTGAAACGTAGCTCCCAGGGTTTACTGCCAAGTATCTACCTCAAACTAATTACTCTAATGTTAGTCTCATTAAGACTGAGTTAGAAACGCTATCGCTAGGTTTTAAATTTTGTGGCTACGAAAATGGTTAATAAAATAGACGTTGAAATTCAGTTTGAAAACCTTTATGTCCAAACAACAGCGCTAGTAACCTTATCAAAGGATGATGTCGGAAGATTCAAATTAACACTAATGAACTGTCGCTTTAGATACTTGAATAGTGGACACAATGATAAACTCATTGAAACGAATAAAACAACGTTTTCATTTAAAGTTATGAGAGAGCTCTTCCACAGCAGAAATGGTATTCATTCCGGGACTCAAAACCAGTCCAATTAGCTTTAAACACCATCGCATGGTCCACCTAGCTACAGAATACAGTTAGCTACTCATTTGTATAACGGGTAAGAGTTTAAATTCAATTCGGAATGCTTCAGATTACTTCGTTCTTGATGTTTTGGACAGAAATTCGTTCCGCTGATGAGTCTTGAATAGGACATAATACACGTTCCGGATTCTGCCGCTACCCACATTCTATCCTTTACACATTAACTTATATCAAATGTCTATGTCGAGGTAGTCAGTCAAAAATATTAACAACTGTATAATCTAATCCATTAAAAAATTTTAATAAATAGCTTTGCTTCTAAGTATCCAGAATATATCTTTGCTGCAATAAAGTAACATCAATGATCATACGAGAACATTTAAGGAATTTATTGATATTTTTATTACAAAACTCACATCTGTAATCTTTTTTATAATTCCTGGATCATAAGACATAGTTGCTAATGCTCCTGAAGCTGCACGTACCAACAGTAAATCATCTAATTCACCACAATATAAAACAAGCAATTTTACACGTTCTGTAGAACATGTAAGACTTGATAATTTCTTAATTAAATCTGTATCATCCAAAGGAATAGTACCACCAGAATATACAACAAAACCATGAGATTGTGCAAAATTAGCTATACATTCGGTTGCAGCTCTTCTGATCAATGGATGATCTTCAAAAAGACAATGATCAATTAACGGCAATCCATGCTCTGCCATGATACGATAACTAAGCAAAATAAGAAATGGCGAAGGAGATTGTTTTTTTTTTTTTGAGAAATAGCGAAAATCATTTCAACAAAAAAACAATTTTGTGAATAGGACATTTATTGTTGTGTGTAGAAAATAATTAAAACGATATTATTCAGTGAATTGGATTTTATATGCTGGTAACTTTAAAAACAAGATTAAGAAAATCAATAAGTGATCTGTTCCCATCTTGTATAAAAACAAAGTTATATTTTTATTGACGCAGGAGGTGGTAACTATTACGTGGGTGGTCACTGTTTCAATGTCTTATGCAAAATACCCGTCACAATGATATCTATGAAATTTTTTTCTTAAAAACGTCAGTTTAAAATTTTTTTATTTTTTTTTATGATGAGCCTTATAGCGGATAATTTAAATTTGAGGAAACTTGTAATAATTAATTTAGTAGATCCAATAGGAAAATTATTCAGAAGATCAACCATCTTTTAAACTACAAGGCTTAAAGGTTTGTACTTTTTGTAATTCCATATAAATAAGTTAACGGAATGAATCAACACCTGTCATGTGAATAGAGAAATTTTAATTATTACTAACGTAACAATCTGAGAGCTGCCACAAATATTCAACTTTTACCGTGAAGTTATGTGAGCTAATAGGAATGACTTACTTATCCCTTTAAGTTTGACATGTAACCAACTTTTTTTAAAGTCGGATCATGTAAGAACCTTCGTTCGGCTTGAATGTTTGTTGTACACATAAGAGGAAATTAATGTCCGTTTGTGGACATTGTCAAATTTTACAGTTAACACCAGATTGTGATTGGTCAACTGAAATTCAACAATCTGCACAAACCCCGTATCTAGTAATAATAACTACTCAGAGTCTTGACTATCAACTGAGTTAACGTGAGAAAAAACACCGATCAAAATACGTTTCACCATGAGTCAATGAATTAGCTCTTAATAGTTTAAGATTCTCTTGCTTTGTTCTGCCCTTACCTTTATTTTACAAATCAGGACTAGCCTTCACCACACTTATACTTCAGACAGATGTAGTTTATATACAAACGGTCCAGGAGACATTGGACTGTACAATGATTAAATCAGAAAGTAGCCGTGAATAGGAAAGAGTGTACGTCAGCCAGTTATTCCGTTGCTTTGCTTTATACTATTTGTTAATATTTAGTAAATAGTCCTATTTCTAATAATTACTAAGTGTATGACAATGGAAGTTAGTGTTGAGTAATGTCGAAAGGTATTTTTACACAAACTAATAGGGTTTTTTGTATTTATTATTAAAATTGATTTCTCTCAACCCTTGTAACAGTTGTGTGTTTTTAGTTCCTGTTTCGGTTGTCGATAAACTTTTGTTAACATTAGACATAGCTATTAACAGTCGTTTACGATATCGAATGTTGTAATTACTCCTCATGTTATTATTACAAGAAGCCTTTTTCTCTCTACGTTTACAGACGCGTCAGTCGCTGCGGATGTCTCAAGAGTTGAGCTTAGTGACCGGTCTATAGATATATTCCTTGTAAATCATTGAAACGTTCTTTAGACAAATCGATGTTTTTGAAGTGGTTTCACGTGCACCTACCTCAGTCGTGTATTTGGGCACTCCAATGGAATTAACATTACCTACCAATGAAATTCGGAGATGGCTCCGTAATATCGCGGACTGAAGTCCAATATTAATGGTGTTAGATGATAGTTTAGTGGTTTAAAGAATGAACACAGTACGAAACCTAAAAGTACTAGTTTTGATTAGCAGAGGAGTTATAGATGCACATTATCAGGGAGTTACGTTCCAGGAAGAAACGGACGTTCAATAATTTCTGAATTTCAGAGGTTGGTTTACTAACATCATTCCGTTATGTTGACGATAAAAAAGTACCGCTATACCACTGCCTCATGAAAAATTATTAAAAATGAATAATATCATCAGTGTGGAAACTAGCTTGCAGGAAATATTAGCAGTAATAATATTACTTACCGATGTGTATCTCCCAGTGAAGCTAAATTAGTTAGAGCTAATAGACCTTCGAAATTTTGTAATGCATTACAATCTGCATGAAGTAAGTGAAGTATTGGGCGAACTACTTCCAAAGACTGGAAACAGTATAAAAAAAAGAGGACAGAGAAAAAGCAAACATGAATTCCTTCAAGATCATACATAACTTTTACACTACATCCAAAGGACCACAGACAAAACTAGCATATCAGAAATTCTAACGTCGTGACAAAGTGGTCACCGAATCACAATACCATGGGAAAAATCGATGGGGACCCGGGATTGTTGAGAAGAGACTGGGAAAGTTTTTGTAAAAAGTACGTGGAGTGTTTAGAATGTGGCTGAGAAATATCAACCGAATCCATAAAGGCAAAAGGGAAATGAAGGTAGACGTTAAGCCGCAATTTAGATTGGATATATAATCCATACCGCTACTATAGTTAGTATGTTTCTCCAACCTCCCAGAAACCCAAGGTTATGAGCACACATTATTCTGTACATAAACTAATCTTGGGGTAAAGCGTTCTTATGGTACTTCGCGCGTTTTCTCTTGCGTTCAAGTTGCAGTAGAGATTTAGTCAGAAGTTATTAAGAACGGATAGGAAATCAGATCTTGCATTTATTTGGCAGAATTACCTCCAACAATACACAGGTTCGTAGTAAGAGATCTAATTAAAAAAGCTCATAGAACTGTTTAATTAAGTCTGGGAATGGTTCAGAGTATGTAGATGAAACGTCAAAAATTGATATCTATGGATTTAAGCATAAAAAAGCCTCATCTAATATGTTTTTTTAAGTTATGATAGTTATATTCTGAAACAATAGGTATTTAGTTATCCAGTAGAATGTTGAATTGTTATATTGAATGACTTATTTCGATAAAGACAGTATACTATTTTAACTTGTAGATAACTAGAACGAATAACCAATGAAACTTTAAACTATTATAACAATCAGAATATATAATTATGTTTGGAAATACTTTACATCAAATAAAAAACTGTTCAAAATTAAAGCTGTTTGACCAATGGTAGTGTATACTTGCTACTCTATATGAGATCACACCTAGGAATCCCACGTCTCACAAAGAGAATGATACCTTTATAACAGTGATCCACAATCCAATCGTTCACATGTTTAACTTTAGGGCAATTCATGATCACGAACATACATTCTAACTTTACAAAACATTATCAAGCAATATCATTACATAATTAGCAATTATTTTATACCTTCTGTCCTGGAAACGTTACACGTGGATCTGTAGTGATAGTTAAACGAGCAAGAGCTTGAGAAGCCAATGTTTTGCCAGTTTCGGTATTGGAATTACTCAGTGATAATTTAAGAAGAGCTTTTGTAGCACCACCTTGTACAAGTTTACCACGACATTCAACTAATTCGGAACACGCTAAATAGATGCTATCAATGAAAAGATAACAATTAATGAATGTAAGTAATAGACAGTGAAAAAAATTGGATCAAATAAGCTTTGGATCAAAAACTTATGCATTATTGAGGCGTTGGCAATGAACTAATTTAAGCCCAAAGTCGGCATACAGAAACGATGTGTCTGAATTTTCATCCTTGCCTGGCACTAATCCTCTTCTCTAGTATGTTCTTGGTTTTGTTTCGTTTTTATTATTATTTGCATTTCTAAACAGCAATCAGTTATTTCTATCCTTTACGAATTTTCATGGTTAGTATTTAATTATTATGACCTTATCAATAAGGAAATTCTCGGAGTTCTGGTGAGACGTGACCAGTGAAGCTCAAGCCTATAGGATGTTGGCAGTAACTACCGAAGACAATGGCTGAGGCCGTTGGATGCCAGCTTAATGGTCTAGATGTTTGTCGTTCGCGCGCAAAAACCCAAGGTGCTTGGTTTCGACCCCCACGAGTAGCGGCAGTCGTAGATGTGCACTGTTGATAAGTCCCATGCTAGAACAAAGCGACCGTCCAGTGCTTTCAGGTTTTTAATGTTGATCTGACAATGATTGATTCATGATTTTAATAATATCTTTCATATATTTGAACTTTATATCATTCTCATCCTTCAATTCTTCTAACTCCTGGATTATTACGTAGCTTACTTTTGTTATTTGAAATCTCGGACCACTCTTCTGTCGTTCTACGGAATCATATATTTATCAAACAGATATAAATACAAATGATTTCGACGAAAAAAAACTTTCTTCGCTGAGGTCTCCTTATTTTTATCATGTAAACAACTATTGACAATCTAATATTTAATAGAAGGCAAGTCCTTTTATTGGTAGTTTATTTTGCATGGGAAATTGCATGACTAAATACATAACATTGGTATTGATTTGTCAAATAATGAGTTTGCTTAGTGATTACTTTTGAAGGTATGATAAAACTTTGTCTGTTTGAGATGATATGCTGTGTCGAAACCAGACATACAACGTGATAAATCAAGGTTGCATGATGAGATCCATGAAGTGGACAATCTATTTTGAGTAAGTAAACGATTCATCAATAAGCAAAATTATCTTCTGCATATCGTGATTCTGATCAGTTAGATCTCCTGTGAATACCAATGAGAGTTGTAAGCATCATTATCCAGCTGTAGATAAGGAAGCATTGAATGTAACTTTGTTATTCATCATTCAAACGGGTTACTTCATCAAGCGTTAAAGCGAGTTAAGTAATTGAATCAGACAGCAGACCACAGAACTTTGCTCATACAGGTGGATTTCATGGAGATCCTTCAGGTGTTTTTCAATCCACACCTGTTAACTATCGTAGTGTGTCAGGGTAGTTACCGGTTAATCACATATTTCTCAACAAATTTTTCAACTGCATATGTTTATGAATGTTTACGGCTAAGATTCAATAAACGGGGAGGAACTTCAGTTACCCTGTGGTCTGAACTCAATTTGAACAAACAAACGAATATGCCATGAGTATAAATCTCTCGTTTAACACCGTATATTACATCAAGGCTAATCTCGTTTGAGCGAAGGCCGTGATAAGCAATCAAACACGAATTAAGTTGAATGAATTTATTTCATGCACTCATCTACTCAGACAGACATCAAGCTGATAGGCGAAGCGGAGAGAGTGTCAACTCCATTTGATATAGCATGAGCATTTAAAGCAAAACAAAAACAATCAAAAGACATGTAATGAATAGAGTAAGAGATACGCACACATACGCTAATGCAAGAACAGTCAAGGTTACACACAAATAGTTAACAAGGTCAAAATAGACGTGGTTAATGTTTTGAGAAGAATAAATTAATTAGTCTACCAAAATGCCATAAAAACACCAATGTGAGAGTGACAGAAATATACAATACAGATCTGCCATTTTATGCATTAACTTACCGAGAAATCAATTCAGATAAACCTTGATTTGATCCGACCAAAGCAGTAGCTGCACGCATTGTCAAATGATATAGTGAAGACGCCAAACCTGTATTGATTAGTTTCTGACGACGTTTTTGAATATATTCATCTGAATCATATGGATGTTCTTCAGGAATATGTTGTTTAGAGAATTTCGCTAATTCAAGCATTTCCGGTTCAATTTGTTGACGTTCAAAACTATTTGTCAAATGAGCTAAAACACTGCATAAAGCGAATGATGAATCTTTTTGACAATGCTAAACAAAATTTTAAACATTTTAAAAGGACAGTGTAAAGAGAAAGTTCATGAAGGATAAAAAGATGATGAAATATTATTATGCAGTGAAAAAAACTAGTCATCATTTTTTATAAATCATAGTTTTCAAAATTTGAATTTATTGAAAAATACCCTCAAAATGACTTTATGCATTATTTTTCCAGTAATTCTATTCAAGTTAGCCAATAAGAGCTTCCTACTCTCGGTTTTCTCACTCAAGTAGCTGATTAGGCTCATCCATGCAAGGGTTATACTTCAGTAGTGGAATCGGAAGACCGTCTAAAACAACTAGTATCTTTTCTTTAATTACGCATTATACATCCAACAAAGAGAGCTAGTTGTAAAGATATTTTATGTGGGTTCTTAATAATATAAAAGAAGTTCAGAATGTCAGCAGTATATTTGAATGGAATAAGATGCTTTTCATACAGAACAGAGTAGTTTTAATGAATTTGAAATTATCACGAAGACGATATATGAAGTGATAAATCTGGTTTTTCTTTAATTATACAACTAAACTATGAATTATTCAGTTCTAAAACTAACCTTGATCATGAATGATTAATTAGTACTTACGACAACATTAGTTTATCAAGTTCAATGTTTTTTTACAGTCCTGATTATTCATTTCTGAATGATTTAATGAACTAGAGAACAGTACAGTTGTTGATGAATGGAAACTGTTGGGGACGTTGGATCCCAGAATTCATTTGGAAAAGATCCTAATTTTGGATTTTCTTATGTTATGAGATCACATTTCCCACTCAGAAAATCTTGGATTGTCATTGGTTGGTGTATTATTTTAGTACGCTATTTTTGTGGTTCTCCCAAGGACGTTTCTATCATGTATAAAGAAGCTCAATTTTGTGTACTTGTTAACCTCGTATTTTCTGGGTGCTTGTAGAATACACTTTTTACGCCTTATCAAAACTTCTTGATATAGTTAGACGGGCCGGGAACAAACGGATGAGAATAGAATAGCCTATCGTGTCACTGCATCATTTGTCTTCGTTCCGTTTACCGAGTAAGGTGAACACTTAATAGTTTAAAGTATATCAATTGACGAGCACATCAGAAACTCAATACTATCCGACATGATGAGGCAATAAATAAACATGATAGTTACGCATTAATTTTATTGGAGTAGGAATGACCTTCAGACCATTTAAATGTTGGATGATATCTAATCATTTTCATTCTTGTGTTCAATATTTTGTTTTTAGACGAATAAATTTGTAAGAATGAACAAAAACTGGGCAGAAGTGGAAAGGGAAGCCCAAGACAGAGCAGGTTGGAGAATACTGGCCGGCGGTTTATGGCTCCAGACTTAAGTAAGTAGGAGTAAATATGTCAGAGAATATGTTCTACTCTTTCGGCTAATGGGATTATCTTCAGCCACCAATTCAATCCTACCACTCAGCTACTCTGCATTATTTTACTTCAACGGTAGATTGTAACTGGATTCTTTTTTTAATAATCCAAGACTCGTCCATGAACTCATTAAATTCTAACCTTTAACAGTTGCGATTGGGACGCGATCAATGTTAATCGAGGATGAATATTTTGATTAAGTATTTTTGTGACTTTGATGCAGTGATAAAGATAAAATATGTTATCAACTGGATTTATAAGTTGACAGCTAATCAAATAAAGTCTCATGAATCTTAATAGAACACCATAATTGTAACATGACAAGCTAATACTGTGTAAATGGAATTTCTTTATACAGAAATGAAAAAAACCATTGAAGATGACAAAACTGTAAATTGTTAAGTAAATAATGTAACTTACTTCAGCAAAACGTAATAAAGCTGACACTAATTCACCATCTTCAATTATTTCTTCTTTAACATCTGCATTCATAGTTATATAAGCCATACCTTCAACAGCCCAATGAGCAGAATCTAAATCATTGAATTGAATATTACTAGTAGTATTAGTAGAAGGATTTACAAGTTTGTTTTCTTTTCTATTTTTCACTGGTTGACCATTTGATATTGTTTCAATTTTCATTTCCTCATTGTTGTCATCATTTTCATCTACTACAATTTCACCGTCAGCATTAAAGTGAACATCAGCTGATTTATTTGCAGCAATATCATCTATATCCGGATCTGGTTGTCGTTTACCCAATAATAATCGACGACATGCTTTAAGCAGAAGTAGATTGGAACCTTCTGTAAGACTTTTTACACTAGCATCTGTACCGCCTGCTGCACCAAGTTTACATAAAGCCTAAAATAAATATTCGAAGTTAAAATGAGTATTGAGTGAAAAAAGGAAATATATTTTAGATTGCATTTATAAATACTTTTTGATAAGTAATAAATATCATAAACGCAAATCATCGTTGTTAGGTAGGTGGACGTAGTCGAAAGGAAACCCTGAACCTAGACTTCATATTAGTTGGCACTTTTACCAAGACATAATAACAAATTGGTCAGCAACGAACTGAACCATAGGTCAAACAATAAGTGACAAAACATCCTAGAATATGAGACTAGGTTAGGTAGCTGATACCTTGACGTGGTGGTCGGGCTTGCCTATCGTGATCACCCAACTGAACTATATTAGCTGCAACATATGTTCCTGAAGGTTCTACTATGCCAGGCTGGTCGATTGGAGAACGATGAGACTAAAACCAGCTACCCAAGGTCCGAGGGCGAAGTCGTACTGCTGACTGCAGAGGGGTGTGACAGCAGTAAGGTGTTTCCCTCGGGCAACCAGTATCTGGAGCGATGCTGCCTTCTCACAAGGAAGGAAGGGTTAGAAAATGTCGACCCTAAAAATGTCACACCTCATCCTACCTCACGGATTTCCGTCTCCGGCGGTAAGGGTGCCAACTAAGGGCTTTCAAGAGCGGACCTAACATTCAAAAAACTTCTCATAAAAGGCCATAGGCAGCGGGGAAGTGACAAACGGCCTCATACCCGTAACAGCACACGAGACCAAATTGGTCAAAATCAAATCCTTCTTACACCCCCTAATATCTCTCTTATCTCTACGACTAACTCTAGTCGCATTACTTCAGCTCACTGAACCGCTAATTTCTATTCACCTGACTTGTCCCTGCTTCCTACTAACTTATTTATTTTTCTTTCCAATTTTTTCAGAATACATTTCACATCATTTCCAAAAATACACTTGTTTTACTACGTAATCCATTTTCATGATAGATAATATTTTATGACAATGTCGATAAGCGCACAATCACTTGAGGATATAGACTTTTCATTCATTTTTATACTACTCCGTTATTTTTTCGGAGCATTATTGGTATTAGGAACAAATATGTTATTTACCACTTTGAAAATAGTAATTGCGATTTTTTTTCGAATAATTCGAGTCGATTTTTTTCACTTGTTTGACAGTCATCGCATATTTTTAGAGAATACAACCTACGAATTAAACTAATCTCTATAAAATCCATTAAACAGAACCAGATGGCCGTTGAACTAATTCATGAATTGATTGAAGGTGAAATTGTATTACTGAACACAAACTCAGTCGTTTTATCAATGGTTTAAGCGGTCGTCATGAGATCTGAAGATTCTGGGTTTGATACTCGATGGGGTTGTGAATGTGCACTAGTGAAGAGTGTTATACCAGCACGAAATCACTGTTTATTGATACCTGGTTTTCAATGGCATCCCCAGTGAGATTAATGAGTGACGAATACAACAACCTATATAACAAACCAATCCCCACGAAAACCTTTCAACCAAAAAGAAAAAATTCTATTTTTTAAAATATAACAATGATATTGACAACAAGAATCACTTACAACAAGTGCTCGAATTCTAGTACCATCATTCTCACTTTTGTATAATGATTGTAATAAAGGAACAGCTTTTGAAATAATATTTAAACATTGTTGTTTTTTATGCGTAGCAATTACAATTGTATCTAATGCGACTGTCTAAGAATGAAATGCACAAACCAAATACATAAACAGAATTTTGTACAGATGAAATGAATGGAAAATTTGCATGAGTTAAAAGAATTATAGTTTATTAACAGAAAGTACCATTCGAATAAGTAAGCATCATATAAGTATCATTCGATTGATATGGTGATGACAGTCTGTGCTCTTGTTTAGTATAAATATTGTATTAATAAAAGAGAGAATAAATTATGCTATGTATCTGTTGGGGACGTTAGATCCCCAGAACTCATTTGAAAAAGGTGCTAATCTTTTGCGCATAAGTTGTTTAGTTGACCTTGAGATTATATTTACCACTCAGAAAATCTTGGACCGTAATTGATTAGTGGATTATTTTAGAACGTTTTTTTGTGGTTCTCCCCAGTACGTTTCTATCATGCATAATTAAGCTCGATTTTGTGCGCTTGTTAACCTTGTATTTTCTAGGTGGTTGTATAATTTTTACGTCTTATCAAGACTTCTTGCTATAGTTAGCAGGGCCGAGGACAAATGGATGAGAATAGAATAGCCTATCGTGTCACTGCATCATTTGTCTTCGTTCCGTTTAACGAGTGAGGTGAACTCGTAATAGTTTCGAGCATATCAGTTTGTTGACTTAAAGTGTACATTTAAGAATAATTATTGAAAACACTCTGTCTACTTATTTAAATAAAGGTTAATAAGTATGAACATGAATTTTTATTGATACACATAAGTACAATCATGAATTTACACGGTTCATCAAATAAGTGAATACTGGCATATTGTGAATAAGACATTGTGAAACTGATTGGATAAGAATGTGTTAAACAAATAATTCATCATGTCGACATTATGTTTAGATAGAGAAAAAAACTGAATATTTAAGGTCAGTTATATAAAAATATATGTCAGCTGCCACTTATTGAAAGCAACAATGATTTGACTAATTTATTCGATCTCAGTCAGAAGATAAAAGTTTATGAGTAGTCAGTCAGTTACAACGTAGAACTTTGTACGTACGTACATCAGTTCGAGTTGCCATACCACATTAACAGAGACGCAACTGTTAATTCAAATCCCATAGTGGTAGATGTAGTGGAAGTATTAGTGGTAATCAAAAAGATTAGGGATCGAAGATATGATTCGAGAAGTATAATCCAGTGGAATCAAAAAATTAGAATTTGACAGAACACTAGGAATCGATACACCTGCACCATTGCAAACGATTTTGAGCCATGTCATTCAAAGTCTCTGACAATCGGTTACTATTGTCTCCTAAACCCCAGCCTGGTAGTCTACATCTACGAACATGGCTCAATACATTTGTCAGTGACTTCATGGATTTGTGCCATGTTTTGGTTTGGTCGAAGCTCGGTTCCTTCCAGCCTACTCCTGAATCACAGCCTAGTTATGAATCTGTTTTGATACTAGTAAAATATTTAGAACTAAACTGCTTCAATGCAGTTTCGTAAGCTTGCATCATTTGACCTAGATATGTTTTCAGTGTTAACTGTTAACAATGACTTTAGTAACTTGAATGTTTGTGAAGCAAACCAATAGTTTTCAACCTCGGTCGCCTATGATGATGATGATGATCATCATCATCAAAATACAAGAACTCACCTGATAAAGTTTATTTTCAGTTTGTGTAAGCAATAATAGACCATCGAAAACTCCTTCTTGAGAAATTATTCCTGATCCAACTTCATACGGTCCAAGGAATAATGTGCCAATAACTGAGGCAGCTTCAACTTTACTCTCTATATAATGATCAGAGAATAATTCCCTAGAATAGAAACATATTAGTTAAAAACATAACCAATCAAACCATGAATAATATAGCTTAAAAATTTTGTAAATATTACATTGGTTAGTTAATGTCTGATCAATGAGTAGTGATTAATATCATGTTTATCTAGTCTCTTAGGGTTGATCGAATTTTATTAAGCCGGTTGCAAAATGGCCACCGAATTGAGCGGATCGATATTTCACATCCGAAGTAAATGCAATAGGATTTGAGCCTGAAACTTATTATTGGTCCAAGGCCGAATTATTTAACTATGAAGACACAGAGATACATCAAAGAAGACATTATCGTATGAAATAAATTATTTATTAATCATTGATAGAGTGTATTCATCTAGTTTACAAATATACCATGTACACGAAATACCTAACACGAATAAAACTGAAGACAAGACAATCTGTGTACTATGAATGACCTAATTTAGAATTCTAACCAAATATTAATTGTGTCTATGATTCGTTTGTTTTGCTTTTAACTGAAATCCTCGGAGTTTCATATTATTCTGAGCAGATTCACAGCATAACATACTGATCATAAATTCAGTAACTTCTGTATCTCTACTATAGTTTTAAGCGTTCATCCATACAAGTAAACTTATTTCATTCGACAGATCATTGGGTAATTAAGCCAACAGTTTAAAGGTAATGGCGCTGATTGATGGTGAAAGTCATGAGTTCAACCACTGTTTAGGATGCCAGGTCCTAACGGTTTCAACACAAAAAAAGCCTTAGTTTCCAATCAATACTTATTCGATAATATTAATTCATGATAAAACTTGAACAAACTTCATCAAAATGATTCATAAAAGCGAACAATATGATTGTATTTACATAATGAAATCTTTGCATATTCTTGTATATTCATCTCGACTCTTGTCTGAAGTTAAATCATCCCATATTTTAGCTAATAAACAAGCTACAGCCATACGTGTATCACTTGTAGTAGCTAAACGAACACCATCTGGTAGCTTTTGACATGATGTTTCATGTTCATTAGTACTAGTTGATCCATTATTGACATGTTTATGAATACGAGATGAACGCCAATTTTTTAATGAAGTTATTCCACTGACACAAGCTACCTCTAACAAACAATCGATAATGCCTTGAAAAGAAAAAGGTGAAGAGATAAATTATACACACACACACACACACACAAAATGCATTGCATTTGTAAACAGCGTAACATTGCTTTATTAAGAACTATGTAAAAGTATGAAGAATTGCATACTGACGATTGGTATTAAAAGAAAAAAAATAAGTTTCTAAAAAAATCGAAAACGTTTGTTTGTATTTTCACAAAGAATATTGATACAAAACCGGTACATAACAACACGTTTAACTTGACATATGTAGCGCTTAAATGGTGACAAAACGGCTTAATCAAGTCTCGGTTACTGAAATATGTTGTAGCGAATACATCATCATCATCATCTTAGTGGTAAATTGTAAAATTATATTTTCATATGTGTTTATGTAGACAAACTATAGCATTGGCATGCTTTTTAACTGATGTCGATGTTTTATTAAGTGAGAAATTAAAGTCAGACAGTCAGTTAGCTACAAAACAGAACTTCGTACATATGTATATCAGTTCAAGTTGCCATAATACATTAGTACATAGAGATTGAATTGTCAATTGAAATGCCATAGTAGTAGAAGTATTTGCAGTAATCAAATAGATTAGGATTCGAAGATATTACTCAAGAGGTATAATTTAGTGAGATAAACTAAGAAAGATAAAGGTAATGACGAATTCAGAAGATTAGAAGATGAATTAAAGTACAGCCACTGAATTAAGTTCCTATTAACAATCATCCACATACATCCAAGTAAGGCCATTCTATTAAACCAGCCGGTAACTGGAAAATGTTAATGGGTTATAAGGCCCAAAATGGTGGTGAGAATCATAAAAAAGAAACCAATAATTAGTGGTGTTAATACTTATCGATTAAATCAGTTATTTAGAGATAGGATACTTGTCTGTAAACTTGTAGAACATCTATTGCCAAACATCCAAGATGTGTGTAATATTTAGCATGTTTTTCTTTTATTAAATGAATGATTAATGTGAATGTAAAGAGCATAATTTTCACTGTGGATTTCAGTTCAAGTTTTAACTTCTTTCATCCTCCAAGTTGGGATATACATTATAGCAACGTGTTCACAGAAGACACATATAGATGGCTTTAGATGATTGCAATCAAGTCTCTGGTGAAAATCATACTACTATATTCAGCAGTGACACAATAAATGAACGGGAAAAATGTTCGAAAATCCTAAATATAACACTTTTACTGAACATTGAAAAAAGATCGTTATTTTTTTTTTATTGCGATACTTTTTTTCAGCAATGACCTTTCTGTACTACACGCTTTTAACAGAGATATTATGACTAGTCAACAAAACCACTTTCCAACTAATAAATATTGTTGTTTAACTAGAGACAGCATATAAATTCAACCTGAGGTCAAATATTCAGTAAAATAATCACATAAAACATTTCCAAAAGTACATACCTTCTACTTTTAAAAATTTTTGTGACCATCCAATACCTTTATCAGAGGGTACATATCTAACCAATATTTCCAAAATATGGTCTCGAGTTTTTGCGCATAACCGATAACTATTTACAGATCGAAGAAGATGCAATAAAATCTCTTCTACTGGTTTTTCAACTGTAGAATCTATAAAAAGTACACATATTGTTAAGATGAAAATATCAATGGTTCTAACGTGTTATATATATAAAATCTGAATTATTAAAAAGGAAGTCTAGATATACTCGCAATGAGTCATCGATCCTTAAGATTTACTAAAGCTTTATAGTCATAGGTGACCAATTATAGTTATGAATTAATGACAAAGTAACGGAATATATAAAATAAAAGCAACAGTTTTAATCAAAATCTAATCATCTCAGCTGTATGGCATTTTCCTCTTATTATAATCTAAGACATATTCCTTAAGCATTCTCATTACTCTATTGAATAACGGATTAGAACAACCAATTTATTGACTGTTTTGAGAAAACAATTATTATTATTACTACTGTTATGGACTTTTATGCACTTCTCATTTAAATTGTATACATGATTAGTTGGATCACATGGTCAACTCAAAACTATTAATTATCACTTGATTACTCTCGTTGTTTGTATAATGTCTTGTATTCCATGAATGATTAAAATTTTTACTGTCGATGAACTAAACTCCACTGAATTTCTCACTTCGCCGAAAACACAATGAACAAAAACCGAAACAAAGTACGAAAACGCACGACTTTTCAGAGTCATCTAAACATTATCTTATTGCAATAAATAATTAACCAACCACATTACGCTATTTACCTATTTTGCTGTCTTTCAATAAATTTATAAACGTGCATGTCTACAAAATGTATGTTGTAATGTGCAGTTGTCCGATTCTGCTATTGGTATACAAGATTCCTATACGTCAACCAGCCACTTGAGTTAGAAGAGCTGTAATAACTAAAACGGAGTCGGAAATATGTGTTGATCCATTCACAAACATATATATAAAGTCACATTTTCAGCCACTAGTATGAACTCCCGACCGTAGCTGCTACCTTGACGTGGTGGTCGGGCTTGCCTATAGTGATGACCCAACCGAGCTATACTGGCTGGAACATATGTTCCTGCAGGTCCTACCATGCCAGGCAGGTCGATTGGAGAACGATGACACTAAAAGCAGCTACCCAAGGTCTGAGGGCGAAGTCGTACTGCTGACTGCATAGGGGTGTGACAGCAGTAAGGTGTTTCCCTCGGACAACCAGCATCTGCAGCGATGCTGCCTTCTCACAAGGAAGGAAGGGTTAAAAAAGGTCGACCCTAAAAATGTCACACCTCCCCTACCTCACGGATTTCCGTCTCCTTGGGTAAGGGTGCCCACTGAGGGCCTTTAAGAACGGAGCTAATCCTCTAAATACTTTTCATAAAAAGGCCGTGCGTGACCGGCCTGAAGCAGTTGTCCCTTGGGCTCTGCGGTCACGCAACAGCACTAATCTATCTTCCTTTTCAGGTCCCTCAAGAAACAACCTTCCACGGTGTGGGCAGCCGGGAAGTGACAACCGCCCTCATACCCGTAACAGTACGAGAGACAAAATTGGTCAAAATCAAATCCTTCCTACACCCCCTAGTGTCTCTGTTATCTCTACGACTAACTCTACTCACACTACCTTTTCTCACTGCACCGCTAATGCAGACGAAGCGAGATCACAAAACGTCGTTCCTGGTTTCTTGAAACCCCGTTCTAAACTGCATGTTGTAGCATTTAATGTACGGACATTGTGTCAAATAGGGCAACAGGCATCATTAGCTAGGACTTTAGAAACTCGTGCCATCGATGTATGCTGCGTCTCGGAAACGCGCATACAGGATCCTAGTAAAGTCATTAACCTGATTCCACCTTGTCAAAACGAAGAAGCAGCCCGATTCACTCTTCGTGTATCCAGTAGCCCTAATGCTGCTACCAGGGGTCTTGCTAGCGTAGGCATAGCGTTGAGTCCTAGGGCAGAATTATCTCTCCTAGACTGGATCCCAGTAGATAGTCGTTTGTGCGCTGTCCGACTAAACGTGACAGTAAGGACTCGTAAGGATAGGGACACTCGCCGTTGCCTCTTCATCGTATCTGCCTATGCCCCCACTGACTGCAGTGCAGACGAGGTTAAAGATGAGTTTTACGGAAAGCTTTCGGACCTCCTCCAAAAATCTAGGCCCTCTGATATAGTAATAATGGCTGGTGACTTTAATGCTCAAGTAGGTAGACTAGGTGAAAAGGAAAGACATCTTGGTGGATGTTATGGTGTAGCGACTGAGAGAACAGACAATGGCGACCGTCTGTTGCAACTATGCTCAGATAACCGCCTACTCTTAGCGAACACCAACTTTAGGCATAAGGAAAAGCATCTGTTGACCTGGCGACCCCCGAAGTCGTTGGACACAACGTTGACACAACTAGATCACATCATCATCCATCAGCCACCGATGGAGGGGTTCAATAGAAGACTGCCGCTCGTTCTGGGGCACATGTTTGGATTCAGATCATGCTCTAGTGCGAGCTCGTATCTGCTTAAGGCTTACTGGGCGTAGGAAAGACACCGTAAGAAAGCCTCTTAGGGTTTCACTTAATGATAATCAAACCAAGAAAATATTTCAGGAGCAACTAGAAAGAGAGTTAAGCAACGATGTAAGTGATTCCCATCCAGAAGCGGGTTAGTATGATATCAAAAAGGCTGTGGAAACAGCAGTGATATCTGATAGTAAGGTTGACCATAAGGCTAGAATGAAGCCGTGCGTATCAGTCGCATCCACCGAACTGATGGATGCTCGAAAACGCATCCCACCTGACTCTGAGCATGATGAAGAGCGTAGTCAGCTTAGGCACAGACTTATAAAAAGTCTACGTAACGATCGCGAACAGTGGTGGGTGGCGAAAGCAAAAGCGATGGAAAAGGCAGCGGCGATAGGCAACACTAGGCAACTTTTCCGCCTTATTAAAGAAACCGGTATTAGGAACCCGAATGTGAGTGAGACTATCTCGGAAAAGGATGGTCTTATTATCCATTCTCAATCCAGGAGACTGGATCGATAGGCAGAACACTTAAGGGATCAGTTCAACTGGCCACGAGCCACTCTTCGGTTACCCACGATCTCCAGTCATCCTGAATGGCAAATCGAACTAAGCACCCCTAGTCTTAATGACGTTGAGAAAGCGTTAGGAAATCTGAAACGAGGACGAGCTGCAGGTCCTGATAGACTGACCCCTGAGATATTTAAGGATGGTGGTCCAGTTTTAGCAGCTAGGTTGACTGAGATCTTAGGTAGAATCTGGGAACTGGACGTAATCCCATCCGACTGGTCTCAATCACTGATTGTCCCAATCTATAAGAAAGGACAGAAGTCTTCGTGTGACAATCACAGAGGAATAAGTCTAACTAATATAGTATCTAAAATATTGGCCTCAGTAATACTTCGACGCTTAACGAAAGCCCGTGAAGAGCAGACTCGAGAAAACCAATCTGGTTTTCGACCTGGACGTGGTTGTATAAACCACATCTTCACACTACGACAGGTCCTGGAACACATACACACATTTAGGCGTCCTACAATAGTTGTTTTCCTGGACCTTAAGGCGGCATTTGACTCTGTTGATCGTGAGGTTCTGTGGCAGTGTCTGTCATTGAAAGGTGTACCACAGAAGTACATTAACCTTATACAAGCCCTTTACTCGAACACCACTGGTTGAGTGAGAGCTTATGATGAACTCTCACCGGAATTCTTCACTTCAAGTGGTGTCCGTCAGGGATGTCCACTTTCTCCATTCTTGTTTAATTTTATCATAGACATGCTCCTAGAGTTAACATTATCCTCGTCTGAATTTTCAGGAGTAGACCTTCTACCAGGTGGCTCGCTTATTGACTTAGAATATGCCGATGACATAGTTCTATTCGGTGAAGACGCTGACAAAATGCAGAGTCTTCTGACTACCCTAAGCAACAGTGCAAGCATGTTCGGGATGCGGTTTTCCCCGTCGAAATGCAAAATGTTGCTTCAAGATTGGGTTGCATCGGCACCTGAACTAGTGATAGGGAGTGAAGTAGTCGAACGTGTAGACCGCTTCACTTATCTTGGGAGTCTCATCAGTGCTTATGGCCTGGTGACTGACGAAATCTCAGCTCGGATACAGAAGGCTCGATTGGCTTTTGCCAACCTGCGTCACTTATGGCGTAGGCGTGATATCCGTTCTCTAATCAAAGGACGAGTGTACTAAGCAGCAGTTCGTTCCGTTCTCCTATATGGCTGTGAAACATGGCCAGTGAGAGTAGAAGATATTCGTAGGTTACTGGTTTTCGATCATAGGTGTCTTCGAAGCATTGCTCGTATATCGTGGGACAACCGAGTAAGCAATGCTGTCGTTAGAAAACGAGTACTAGGTAAGGATGGCAGATCAATCGATGAAGTGGTGAAACTTCATCAATTGAGGTGGTTGGGACATGTGTTGCGTATGCCCAACCACCGACTGCCTCGACGAACTTTGTTTTGTAGTTTAGGAATAGGTTGGAAGAAAGTTAGGGGCGGCCAGACCAAAACATGGAGGAAATCCATGAAGTCATTGACGAGTGGACTGAGCCATGTCGGTAATTGTCGACTACGTGGTTGGGGTCCGCGAGATGATAATGATCGATGGTTAGAGACCTTGAATGACATGGCTCAAAATCGTTCGCAATGGCGCCGGTGCATTTATTCTTTGTGTTCTCTCAAATCCTAATCTTCTGGATTCTTCAACACCTCTAGTTTCGACTCTCTTGCTGTCTTTCAATAAACTATAAACGTGCATGTCTACAAAATGTATGTTGTGATGTGCAATTGTCCGATTCTGCTATTGGTGTACAAGGTTCTTATACGCCAACTCAACCACCCACTTGAGTTAGATGACCATGAGTAAGAGAAGAGCTGTAATAGCTAAAACTGAGTCGGAAATATGTGTGGATCCATTTACAAACATATACATAAAGTCACATTTTTAGCCACTAGTATGAACTTTCCTAAAAAATGGAGCTAAATCTTAGTCGATGTCATCCTTTGTTTTTTAGCTTACATCTAACTGAGAAAAAACTATTTCGAAATAATCTGTTTTCATTTTTACTGTTAGCAACTGCATAGAGGCAATTTAAAAAGCTAAGCACTCAGCTGACGAGTACCAAATGGGACACAATGTGCACCCTATATTATACTGGTAGCCGTTGTTTATTCATTAAACGAAGACTAAAGCACAAGTTTAGTTATCCTTTGAAATTGCGCTTTGAAATCTTTATGCATGAAAAATATTTTTAAATCGAACAAGATTAAGCTACAGAGAACAGTATTATTTTGAAATGAATGAAACCTTAGAATGAAAGCTTTAATATTTAGACAAGTTGATCTATCTAAAGTATTCATTGTATCATCCAAAAATTAGGCTCTCAGAAAAGTTCATTCACAAAACATACACTGCTAACGGTAACACAAACTGATCGGGTTTTATTTAAAACCAATTGACAAAGATTACTGAATGAAAGCTGAGCGTTTATTGATTTTTATCAACAAAATATACTTGCATGATCTGCAAGCATGCAGATTTTCTCACGAAACCTAGTAACTAAAACAAATTCAAGTACAAGTGTTTGAGTTACAGTTATGATCTGAAGATTAGAGATACTACTTGACTACTCGGGGAAAAGTAGATACAGAAAAATTTGAATCTGATGTTTGGCAGTTAGAAGCAGAATGCACAAAATATCAACTCATAAGGATAGAACTGGGTAGTATAGATGAATTTTAATTGGTGATAATTAATGTGACATTGAATCTTTAAAATGAAACTAAACAGTTTTATTCAGTACCATAAAGTGACATTCATCTTCCTATACATATTGAATGAATATAAAACAAGTAAACACAACACTGTTTATGTTTGTTCTGAATTACTATGTTAACTTACCAATTTTGTATTTACGATAAGAATTAGGTGCAACTTTTTTAATTTCTACCTCTTTATGAGTACTTGCAGCTTCTTTAGCTTTATGATAAGCTCTCAATTGTGTAAGTGATTCTAATATGGCATTTAGAAATCGGCATCGTTCTAGAGAATGTTCAGGATTACGTGAAAATATTCCATTCACAAAATATTGTGGTGTGAGTTCATGTAAAACAGTAAGACCCTAAAGTAGGAAATGTTTAAAATTTAAAAGAATAACATCTATAATATACATATATATTGTGTGTAAATTCAAATACACCTTTACAAACTTCAAATAACTCTCAATATTAGATTTCACTATGATTACTACCAACTCTAGCCTGTATAGATCTTTTTAAACTACCAGAAGAAAAGCCAATGAATAAGTTATTGTGGATCAAACCACGCTATGATTACATCTGGTAGATATTATTACCTATACAAAAAATATAAAAAGCAGCTTCCAAAGCATCAATCACATATTATACTTCAAGTCTGATCAGCTCTTTTTATCAAAGCATATGCAAAATAAAAATAATAATAACATAGCTGTAATTCTAACTTGCGATACAATGAGAAATGAAAATGAAGTGAATTAGTAAGCACCATACTAGTGTTATTAAAAGTATCGACTATGTTCTGTTGGTTTACTTAACCTGTTTCCGTTTGTCAGTCATTCATGTTTAATGTAACTTTTATTAAATAAATAATTGTTAGATTTTTGGGCATTTAAGGTGATTCCATGAACATTTTACTTAATCTCTGAATTTGAAAATAAAACTATCGGCAGCACTGGCCAAATGACTGGATATGCGCTAAAAAATCAAAATGCTTTTAATATGGAAAGTATCAATCACATAGCAAATAATTAATCACTAAAATAACGGTCACCAAACTACCAATAAAGTTTTACTTCGGAACGTTGTATTAGTAATTACTGAAACGTTTGATATGGATGCTACACTTCTGAACAAGCTTAAGAATAAACGATATTTTCAAACATTATTTAACACTCTATAGACCAAAAATATCTGGCATGTATTTAGAGGTTTTATTTGAGGGGATTTAAAAGACCATAAATAGCCTTTTTGATCCAGTAGTATCATATCGACTACATACTTTCAACTGATTAAATGATTTTTAGATACAAAGCTGGTGAAAAAAATCAAAGAAAATAAGATCGAGATCAAGATGATCGTTAACAGCAAGGATGAAAAAAAGTGAAAATTATTGAGTTTGTAGATATCAGTATCAACGTTGGATTTGATGGTTTCAACTAGATCGAGCATTAGGTGAAAAGTTAATCATAATAAAATAATTATAATTTTGGTGATATCCCGATGAGTAAATATTTATTTTGAAGAAGTGACTTGAATTAAGCCAGGAAACGTTAGAAATACAAGTTTCTACTCATTGAGATGTTGGTTAATGGCCCAACCCCATAGAAAAAAAGCCCCAACCGTAAAAAATCACTTTAATTACTAAGACTCTATCCAAGGAATTGAAGGGTCTTTATCTGGAACAATTACGATACTTCATGAGGCCAAGATCCTTCAGCAGTCACGGGTCTGATTCCCTTTCTGACAATCAGAGTAACAATTAATATAGACACATTGAGTGTCTGGATAATGTGGGAGACCGGGAGAAGCAATAAAAAATAGCTGGAAATGAAAAGACACAACCTGGTGGTGTTTGGAATGAGTGAAATTTATTGGACACAAGCTAGAAAGAAAATACAGGCTTTGGGAGAGGTGCTGTTGAATTCTAATCCATCAGTTAGTCAGTTACCATAGCTGCTACCTTGAAGTGGTTGTCGAGCTTGCCTATCTTCATGACCCAACTGAACTATATTAGCTGGAACATATGTTCCTGAAGGTTCTACCATACCAGGCAAGTCGATTGTAGAACGATGATACTAAAAGTAGCTACTCAAGGTCTGAGGGCGAAGTCGTACTGCTGACCGTAGTAAGGTGTTTTCCTCGGACAACCAGCATCTACAGCGATGCTGCCTTCTCACAAGGAAGGGATTAGAGAAGGTCAACCTTAAAAATGTCACACCTCACCTTACCTCACAGATTTCCACTCCGGCGGCAAGGCCCTTTAAAAAGAGCGGAGCTAAAACTCTAAATACTTCTCATAAAAAGGCCGTGTGTAACCGGCCTCGAGCAGTTATCTTTTGGGCTCTGCGGTCACGCTCCAAGGTCTCTAAGACCGATACTAATCTACCTTCCTTTTCAGGTTCATTAGGGAACATCCTTCAACGGTGTGGGCGACCGGGAAGTGATATCCGCCCTCATAACCGTAACAGCACACGAGACCGAATTGGTCACAATCAAATCAAGTATTCTGGTCAAGAAAATGTCTTAAACACAAGCAGTTGCAGTGATGCCGTCCGAAAAATAACGGAAGGCGATTAAACGATAAGGATCTCATGGATCCAGGCTCATTAAAACATCCTTCAAAGCAAAGAAAGGTGAATGCCATCTAGTGCTATGCGCTCTCCAATAAGAGCAGTGAAGACGATAAAGATCAGTTTTATGGGAGATTGCAGTTCACCTTACAGCAATGCCCCAGAAGAGACCTCGCCATTTTGACGGGAGACCTAGACGCCACGGTAGGAATAGATAACACCAGGTATGGAGACATCATGGTATGATACACGAGAAGTAAAGACCAGACGGAAAACATGTATTTGGAGAAGACACAGTTTTTTTACGAAATATATAGACACATAGTCTTCAACCATCAATTTGCAATCCAAACAGTTTATTGACTAAAATTTCCCGCATCTGTTCTGGTCTTCAAGATACTCTGATCACGCGATGCATTCAGATCAACTGACACTTCTCTCTGCTAGCAATTTCTAATCGACGCTGCACACTACTTATATGCCATTTTGTGAGGATATAGACTAGAAGAAAGGAACGAAAATGGAGAGGGATTTGCAAATCTGTGTACTTCACATAAATTGGTTATGTACAGCACCATATCCCCCCAAAAAGCAACCATTAACATCCGAACAAGAGCAGAGGAAGCCAAGTAACAGGCTGAATGTACAGATATAAACAAGCGAGTGAAGAAGAGCATTGCAGCAAATAAGCGAAAATATGTGGAAGACCTGGCAATAACAGCAGAAAAAGCTACAAGAGAAGGAAAGGAGACAACTATACTATACAACAAAGAGGCTAGCAGGAAAACCTATTAAACCTAAGTCACCAGTCAAGAACAAAGAGGGCAAACAAATCATCAAGATTCAAGAGCAGCAGAACAGGTGGGTAGAACAGTTAGAAGAGCATTTCAAAAGACTAGCTCTACTGAACCAATCAGTTATTCACGCAGCACGCACAGACTATTTATATAAATTGTACTCCACCAACAGTAGAAGATATCACGATGGCCATCAGATAGTTGTCCTCAAATGCCCTGGTACGGCTGAGAGTGGGAAGAGTTCGCTATTCCTTTCAAAATGCTCTCATATAGACACGCGTGTATAACGTCTTCCAGGGAATTTCAACTGACTACCTCCTCATAAAGGGGTGTTGTTTACGAAACTGAGACGTCTATACCGAATTGGTCGATATGAAGAATCCACATGAGGGGAGATGAGAAACCCTGATTCGAAACTAATGGTACAACTGGGCTCCAGGATCCTACGGGAACGAGTGACGTATGAATATAATTTTACTCTCAGAAAACCACCTGCTTCTTTTGGAGCGTTCGGACAGAATCTCAGCTCATTGTGTGTGCATTCTTAAATAATAAGTCAAGCAGATTAAGTGGTAAGGAAGCAGGATCGGACAACATACCAGCCGAAGCACAGAAGTAACTGTAAAGACGATTCATGCTGTCTTCAGAAAGATTTGGAGGGGGGAAGAACAAGTACCAACAGAATGAAAAGAAGGAAGACTCATCAAGATACTGAAAAAAGATCTTAGTAAGTGTGAGAACCACAAATGCATCATATTACTGTTATTACTAAGAGATGCTGGAGGTAGATTGATTACACATCATAGAAATTATCGAAATACATCACACAACATCGATTAACGTGAATTCTTCAGGAAAAATCGAAAACATGCATGCCAAAGAAAAAATTGCAGCATGAACTGGAGAAAAACACCGGAATAATGAACACCACCTGACCGTAACAGGAAAAAGGAGCCCAGGAGAAAGTTGTTTGATCTCTGACTAGTGGCCTATGCTTCGCGATGACTAGTAAGTGAAAACAAGTAATTCCGCACTTTGAGAATGAGTGAGCAACGCTGTTATTAGGAAACGGGTGCTAGGTAAGAATGGCAGATCAATAGATGAAGTAATGAAACTTCAATTGAGGTGGTTGGGACATGTGTTGCGTATGCCTAACCACCGACTGCCTCGACGAGCTTTGTTTCGTAGTGTAGCAGTAGGTTGGAAGAGAGTTAGGGGCAGCCAGACTAAAACATGGCAGAAATTCATGAAGTCATTGACGAGTGAACTTAGCCATGTCGGTAATTGTCGACTACCTGGTTGGGGTCCGCCAGATGATAATGATCGATGGTTAGAGACCTTGAATGACATGGCTCAGAATCGTTCGCAATGGCGCAGGTGCATTTATTCTTTGTGCTCTCTCAAATCCTAATCTTCTGGATTCGTCAGCGACTCTACCTTTGTCTTTCTAACCTTATCTCACTGAATCATACTTCTTGAATAACATCTTCTAATCCCAACCGCTCCGATTAGTTCTAATACCTTTACTACCTCTTCTACTATTGGATTTGAATTGACAATTACATCTCTGTGCTGATGTGGTATGGCAACATGAACTGATGTACTTACGTACGAAGTTCTTACGTTGCATCTGTCTGTCTGTGCCGACGACATAGTGCTACTTGGTGAAGACGCAAATGCATCCTTCTGACCACCTTAAGCAACAATGCAAGTATGTTCAAGATGCAGTTCTTCCCCTCGAAATGCAAAATTTTTTCTCAGGATTAGCTTGCATCAGCACCTGAGCTAGTGATAGGGAGTGAAGTATTTGAGCGTGTTGACCACTTCACTTATCTTAGGAGTCTCATCAGTGTTGATCGCCTGGTGACTGACGGAATCTCAGCATGGATACAGAAGGCTCGATTGGCTTTTGTCAACCTGAGTCATTTATGGAGTATGCGAGACATCCATTAGCTAACAAAAGGACGAGTTTACTGTACAGCAGTTCGCTCCATCCTACTAAATGGGTATAAAACATGGTCAGTCATAGTAGAAGATATTCGTAGGTTACTGGTTTTCGATGATAGGTTTCTCTGAAGCATTGCTCGTGCATCCTGAGACCACCGAGTAACCAATGATGTTGTTAGGAAACGAATACTAGGTAGGGGTGGCGAATCCGTAGATGAAACATTGAAACTTTATCGGTTGTGGTGGTTAGGAAATGTGTTACGTATGTCTGACCACCGACTGCCTCGTCAAGCAGTTTTTTGGTGTAGGAGTAGGTCGGAAGAAAACTAGGTGCGGCACAAATCCACGAAGTCACTGACAAATGGATTGAGCCATGTTGGTAAATGTAGGCTACCAGGTTGGGGTTCGCGAAACAATACTAACCGATTTGAATGACATGGCTCAAAATCGTTTGCAATGACGCAGGTGCATCTATTACTCGTGTTCTGTCAAATTTAATCTTTTGAATTTTCATGACCATTTTTTCCCTTTTTAAATTGATTTCACTGAATTATACTTCTCGAATCATATATTCGATCCCCAATCTTTTTAATAACCACTAATACTTCTACTACATATAGCACTACAGGATTTTGATTGACAATTCGGTCTCTCTATGCTAATGTGGTATGACAACTTGAACTGATGTATGTATGTACGAAGTTCTACGTTGGAGCTGACTGACTGACGGTAACATTCAATAATACCTAGGTTTTCAGATATCTACTCAAAGAGAGTAATGCTAAAGTAAATGACAAACTCACCCAATCCTGATTATCTTCTATCAGCTGAGCTAGCAAACGATGACAAGCAATAACCAATCTGTGGTTAGGATGCTGGCAAATCGAATAAATCTTCGGAAAACTGGGATTCGTCCAAACTAATGAACACGCAATTTTCTGGTTTTCTTTTATTAGAGCTGATAAATTAACTATGGCCTTAAACAGTCAATTTTGTAACTGGGAGGAATTTAATCTACCTGTTCTAATTGTTCAGCAGAGCTGCAGCTGTTATTTACGATGTCAAACATCTTGTTTAACTTTCCTGTAAGGCTGTCAGATTCCGCGACATACGAAGCAACTGCAGTTTCCAGTTTATGAGCTAGATTTTGAACTTGTTTATTCTTAGGGTCAACAAGAATAAGCCTTCTTGCAGTTTCTAGAGCTTCTTTTAACATTCCTTTACCTTCATAAGCTTGTGTACAACGATAGAGAGCCTTTGGATCACCAGGAGAGATAGTAAGAGCTAAACGTGACTCGTTGACTTTTGAAGGATAACAAACCTTCTAGGGAAGCCGTCAGAGCATCACTGAAATTCCCCAGGTTCAATAAGCATTGTGCCTTATTGCGTTGTAAAACCAATTTCATACTGCTGTCAGATCCACATAAACCAAGGCATTCGTCATATAAAATAATAGCTTCTTGATATAGCCCTTTTTTAAAAAGCTCATTAGCTTCCGTTTTTAGTTTGTTTGGGTCTTTCATGTCGGCCTTTGATCTAAAATGATAAGGTAATAAATTTAAAATCAACAAAACGTGAGCGAAACTACCGAAAATCTTAGCTGTACATATCTTACATGACAATGTAAGTCCATAATATGGGTGCACATGATACCAATTTTATCTCATAATCTGAGCATGATATCATACACAGGGTTTAAAACTTATCCAGGGTGGTTGATTTTTAGCCAACAACGGTATGTATGTAGAAAGGAAAACGAGGAAAGGTGCATGTAAATTGTAATCGAGTTTATCCACTAGTCACTAAATAGCTAGTAATAATTTTGTACACCTAGCCCTAAATTAAAACATTAGTTTTGTCATAAAAATAAATTTACCAGACTATATTTATACTACGAAACTCGTATCTAATATAAAGGTGAGATGGTGTTCTTGCCTTACAAACCCCTTAGAAGAAATAAGAATAGTATTGGAACGTTTGAGTAAAACTTATCTGGTTGGGCTGGAGGCACTGAACAAGCTGTGATATAATGAGACAGAGGAGAAGAAAACACCAATTTAGTACCCGAGATTACTTGCACAACGACTATGTATAGGACATTCAATACGGATTAGATATGAACAGGACTGAAAGTGACATTTTTGCTTACTGGAATATAGAAAACGTGGTGCTTAATGTGTACACCTACCGGTTTATCAAAGAAAAGTTGGATGGTACACTTCTACGATGACTTTAACCGCATAAAATTGTTACCGTTACAAGTTGTCTTTAGATGGCTCTGCAGATTGACAGAGGACGGATGGAAATGCAGTGCAGAAACACAAAAGTAGGCGAATAAAATATCATAAAACCAACTACATAAAAAAGCGTGTCAAATAGCTAAGCATGCAAGAGAAAAGAAAATTTAAGATGTAACAACTATCTAAAAAAGATTGGGTGTAAATTATCATTAGTCTGATCAAGCAAAAGATATATTAGAATATTTTGTCGGATATTAGCGTCATTCCTTGAAATGCGCAACAATGCAATGGATTACGTTTTTATTCTCCAGACCGCAGTAAATAATGATAAATTCTCACTATCTGAAAATAAGATTGTCCTCATATTATATTTTAGTTAAAAGGTATTTTATGAAACAAAAAACGCAAACTTAGAACTTGTTGAGCTTGTAATGACTGATAAAATCATTTGGCAAAAATCGGAACGTTCCAACTGCACCTACAAACTGCAATTACAGATAGGAATGTGTTAGTGTATTCAAATTTTTGTCATCTTTAAGGTCGAAGAATCCAATATCCAATATCTTTTTCACGAGCTAGTATAAACCACTTGATTTATCTGCTCTCGATTCTTGTCCTTTCAGTACGATTGCAGGTGTTCGGTAGTGGACTTGACAGTATACTTCCAAAATCCAACATCTTTTTTCATGCCCTAGTATAAACAGATTGATTCAGTTGTAGCAGCCTTGAGGTTGATTTTATAACAACTACTTGAAATCATTGTTATAATTCGTCGTAAACTTATAGATTTTGTACCGCCTTCTTCACGATATTCAGCCACTTGTTTCACGTTTTCAGAGTTGTGCAATATGAGCAGTCAAGCCACCCAAATGCACGGCCTATTTAGTAAGTTAGCTTTATTTAAGTCGATTTGCCTTTAGTGTATTGTATGAAGTTATTTTGGCCTTTTGTGGTTTCTGTAATCTTATAACATCAATATATATGGATGTTGATATGAGAACGGAATTGGCAGGTTATGAGCCAGCATAGGAATACTTACTGACAGTGATCATAAGAAGAAATAATTATGTTGTAGTGCCTCCACATAAACTTGAGTTCGCTCATATTTAATTTGATTAAGCCTTTTCGATTAACTTACGTAACCAAGCTATTTGTATAGCAACAACTCATATGTACACCACTGGTATTTTTTCGTCTTGTTTGTATGAGCTTGTACGACTGAGCATTACTTACGCCCACGCGCTTACTCATCCTATTCGTTTTAATGCTAACCTCTTAAATATTTCGATGATTCAGTATCCAATATCTTTTTCACGAACTAGCGTAAACCAATTGATTTCCTTGCGCCCGATTCTTGCTCTTTCGGTACGGTTCCAGGTGTTCGGTAATCTTCAACGGATGGAGGTCTAGCCACTCGACTGTCTGATTCTAGTCAGTCGGCAGTAGCTCGTGAGTTTTTATGTCCAATGATTTGAATGAATACGTTTGTTTCAGGGCAGTAGAGTTTCTGGATATCAGCGGCCATCACATTATCAAACCGGAGATCAGTTAGTTAAAATATGGAGAGTCATAAGGATAAAGTTCTAATGTTATTATGAATAAAATCTCTGAATGTAATATATGTAATATATGGATGAATGTAATTTGTCAGTTGGTAGTGAAGATTATGAGAGAGGACCATGGTATAAGCAAGGGAGAGGGAACGGAGATGAGAGGCGAGATAGATTAAGTAAGTGATCTGAGGAGATGGAAATGATAACAACTAGCAGGTCTCAAGATATGCATCAGGCACAGCTTATCAAAGAGGGAGATAATAGTTCGTATGTGAGTACGTGATTATTACATCTCTTCTTAAAGCAGTCCACTGAGGGGGTTGTGGTCACCTCGGCTAGGAGAGCATTCGAAGTTGCGACCACTCGCAATGAGAAAATGTGTGCATGAACCTGAGTATTAGCTCTTTGATGTGCAATCTTTCGAGCATTGTCTCTAGGGGAGTGGTGGTGATGCATCGGTAAGATGCTTACGTTCGGATGGTTTGGCGTGCTTAATATGTTGTAGGCAATAATCAGATCACCTCGGATTCTCCTGTAGCTCAGTGGAAATAATCCCAAGAACTGGAGTCTATCGTCGTAAGGTTTATTTTTAACCCTATAACCATTTTGGTTGCTCGTCTCTGCACTCGATCCAAGAGATTTATGTCTCTTTTAAGAAAAAGGGGTGTGATGACGTTGTGAACCTCCAGGCGTGGGCGGGCGTACGTCTTAAATAGGGTTAAAAATAATAGCGGGGTGATAGCACCAAGTTGTCTTCGCATAAAGTGAAGAGTCGCATTTGCCTTGGCTGCGTCCACTACATAGCTCGGACTCGTGTGGAGGCTTCCTGTGGTTATTAAACGGAGATCGCTCTCTGAGGACACACTATGGAGAGGATTTCCATTGAGGGTATAGATCGTTTGCATCGTGTGAGGCAGAACATGCATGACGTGGCACTTCGGTTGTTTGAGTTTTAAATCGTTTTTCACTGCCCATTTCTCTACAGGTGTAAGGTCCTTTTGAAGTTCAGTCGAATCCTCTTCGCTTCTAATGGACCTCCAGATCTTCATATCGTCTGCGTAGATCAATACCGTTGAGCTAACTAAGCCTAACAGGTCGTTAATAAATATCAGGAAGAGAAGTAGGCCTAAGATGGTCCCCTGTGAGTCTCCCGAGGTGGATACTCTCCAACTCGCGTGCACTCTGTTTACCTTGGTGCGAAATTCTCTATTCTCAAGGTAGTTTCTGAGCATAGATAGGGGTGGGTCAGTAAAGCCCATTTCCACAACCTTTTCGATTAGGCGTGCGTGGGGTACCGTGTCAAAGGCTTTTTCAAAGTCTAGAAATATCACGTGCACCGGTATTTTACGGTCCAAGCAGGATGTCCAACTGTCCCATGTGATGAGAAGATTAGATGCACACGACCTGACTTTCCGAAACTTGTGTTAAGCTTCATGGAGTATTGATTTCTTATCCATGTTCTCACGCATTTGTTCGTCCACCAGCCCTTCCAAAACCTTTGATAATATTGGTAGTAGTGCTACTGGCCTGTAACAGGCTGGGTCCCTCCTATCTCCTCCTTTGAAGATTGGAGAGAGAGTAGCTTGGTTCCATTCAGCTGGGAATTGGTGTGGCTCCAGTGAATGCCCGAACAGGTCACATATCGGTGAACAGAGGACTTCTGCACATTTTCCTTTGTATATATACGAACATTTTATTCTTATTTATTGGTTCACACATTCGCACATTAGCACAAACGCTCGCTAATGTGCCTGCCCGATCTTCTTGTAGTTTGTTGATCTGTTTGTGGTGTGCCAAAAATACACGTATTCAAAACTTCGAGTTCATCTTCAGATTTATAAACCGTCAGATGCCATTTAGTAGGGATTGTCTGGACGAGCTAATAACGGAGATTAAGAACACGTCGAAATCGGCCACCACAATGTAAATAAGGGCGAAACAGTACCGTCAGTGATCACGAGAGTAAGACAGTTCCTTCTTCTTCGGTGAACGTGGTTGTCTGATAGTTCGTAGACAGGTTTTTAAAAACGATTACCTGGTAATTCTAGTGCGTTTCTATGATTTCTTTGTCTATCCAAATATAAATGCTTCCGTGTGCCTACGTAGTATCTTTCTAACGAAAATAGGACTATTCTAAGAGGTCTACGTTATCTCGAGTGTTTCTAATAATGATCTCAAAGGAGCATATGTCTAAGCAGCTGGGTGAACGTTCACAGTTCCGTGAGGATAACGCAAAAATATTTGAGTCCTATGTACATTTTTGAATGTTGGGAGAGGTGGAAAAACAATTGTGAGTGTTTTCGGATGCCGATATCACCGAAATCCTTCTCGACTTGAATTTATTTGAATATTCTGTTAAAGAATAAAATTCTAGTAATTGGTCTGAACACAAAGCTAACTGACAAAGGTTTATTCGATTAGACCAAACTGCATTCTTCAGCACGGCGTATAAAACATGCTTAGATGACTTGTAGTAAGTTACATCAAAACATAAATAACACTTTGTTTGATCCGTTCTAATTTTGGAAGTTATATAATAATAATAATTTATTATCAAATAATAACATGTTACAAGAGGCATTCCATTTTACAGGCAAGATTAAAAGGTTGAAATCGCTAAAATTTTCTGCAAAAGGAATGTTGAGTTGGATAAATATTTCAAAATATACACTGGCTTTTTATAGAGGGCCATTATTTTTCACATAAAATTGTAGATAATGTTTCAGTCTC